TCACTTAGCAAGACCTTGTATCAAAAAAGGTCCTAGGTTCAATCCTCAGTAGCAAAATACAAATAAAATAAAATTTAAAAATCTGAATTATACTAAATCTTAAGCTCTTGGGCCTCAATGTCCTGTATATAAAATCAATCAGAAACTAGAAATGAAACACTAGCAGCATTTTGCAAAAGCTCCCAGGGAAACATTTATATAAGAACTATAAAACACAGACTGGCTCAAAAAGATAAATTATGAGGGGCTGGGGATTTAGCTCAGCGGCATTAGCGCCTGCCTTGCAAGCAGGCAGTCGTGAGTCCGATCCCCGGAACCGATAAAAAGGAAAAAGACAAAAAAAAAAAAAAAAAAAAAAAAAGATAAATTATGGTTCATATGGACATGATTCGTGAGCCACAGAATTTCAGTTTCTTACTTAAACCAAGAAGAATCAAAATGTACATGTGAAAAACACAAAGCTTACAATCTACTCCCTGGAACCATACAAGAGTCATCACAACTGTTCTAAACTTGCTATCTGTGGCCTTGGGAACCAGCGCAATTCACACCATTAATCAGTCCAATGCTTTTGTTCAGTACATGTCTATTGAAGAGCCAGGCATGGTGGTGTACCCCTGTAATTCTAGCACTTGGAAGGCTGAGGCAGAAGGATCGCAGTGAGTTGAAGGCCAGCCTGAACTGCACAGTGAGACTGCCTCAAAAAACAAATAAATCAGTAAGTAAATAAATCAGGTTATTAACAGTGAACTCTGCAGACACAGGCCTTGAATTGTCAGTCAAAGCCTAGTGAAGGAACACAAAAAACAAGCAATTTCAACAATGGGCTTTATATGCTGATTTCCAAGGATGCTTAGATTCAATTAACATGAAAGAGAGGGAATCTAACCTAACTTGGTCCCCAAAGGAAAAGTAAGATTTAATGAGGAAAGAAAACTTTGAATGGGAAAGGGGAACCAGACAAAGTAAACAACAGATGTGAAAGCCCTGGAAGCAAAGTTCCAAGCCACAATACTGAAAGAGGATTCAGTCTGACTAGGATAGACAGTATGAAAGGGAACACTACGATCAAGTCTGCCAGCTAGGTAGTAGTGAATTCAACTGCTATAAGGGTCTTATAAGCTACTTTGAAAGGTCTAGATTAAAAAAAAAAAGTTCTGGGGATGTGAAGCGCAGTGTGAAGGCCTTGGGTTTAATCTCAGGACCACAAAGGGGAAAAAAAAGTCTGCATCAGATACTAAGGGCAACTGGAAGTCACTGAATGACTCGGTTCCATTGTAGAGAATGAAAAAGAGAAGCTCTACTCGAGCAAGAAACCAGCAGGAGACCACTGTCACCCAGGAAAGAAACAATGACTTCAACTGTGACAGCAGTTTTAAGGATAAAGAGCTCTGAAAAGAATAAAGCAGATAAAATATATTGACAGAATTCAGATCCTAAAAGAGAACAACTCAAGAAAAAGTTGCCAAAACTAGCATCGCCTAGAACTGCACTGTGCAACTGACCTTTCCAAAATGACAGCAATAACCTGTAGAACTTCTGCTGCCTAACACAACTTAACATCTCTGTCCACTTGCTGTTACTGAGCACTTGAAATGTGGTTAGTTAGTGACATTGAGAAACTGGATTTCTGTGTAATTTTAACTAACTTAAATAGCTACCAGTGGTCACTGTATCAGACAACACAAGTCTAGTTTAGTTAACTAATCTAAAATATGTCACTGTCAAGTTTAGGTTTATCCGAATGGGAAAATAAATCCTTCAGATTTAGTTGGAAAGATGTTCAAGACACATTAAAAAGTATCCCAGTGCTCTTGGAGGCTGGGGCAGGAGGTTCTAGCCCAGCTTGGGCAATTCTGCGACTTAATGAGAACCGGTCTCAAAATTTTAAAAAGAATAAGCAGGATATAGCTCAGGGCAAAAGTCCTGGATTCACTTCCTAGTAGTGCAATAGGTAAACAAATACTTAAAGAGGCTGGATTTATGGATCAGTGTCAAGGCTCTGGGTTCAAGTCTCAGTACTAAGAAGAAAAAAAAAATCCACGTATTTCGAACAAATAAGATAGTGCTACTCATAATCCCAGCATTTGGGAAGCTGAGGCAAGAGGATCTCTATCTAGCTCAAGGCCAGTAACATAGCAAGTTCAAGGTTGGCTTGGACTAGTGAGACACTGTCTCAAAAAACCAAAAACTGCTCTCTTTGGCAGTACATACACTAAAATAAAAACCAAGAACAAACCAAAAAACCCTATGTTTCAGAATAACATACATAACAAACTTGCATTTTCCAGTTTTAAGGAACAGTTTGTATAAATGCTCAAAGAAGAAAAAAACTGACAGCTGGGATATAGCTCATTGGTTATACCTGCCTAGAATGTGTGAGGCCCTGAATTTGATTCCCTTCATCACAAATAAATTAATTAATACTTAGCTGAACAATCATGAACTAAACATATTATCTTGAAGTGAAGAATGAGAGAGGCCTTTCACATCTTTTTTTTTTTTTTGATACTAGGAATTGAACTCAGACCTTGTACTTGCCAGGCAGGTGCTTGTGCTGCTGAGCTATAACCCCAGCCTTCATATTCTTGTATGTTACTGACTTTAAATTTTTGTTTTAAAACAATCAACACACATTACCTTTCTATCTGGTGGAAAAACAAATTAAAGCAGTTTTCTGAGCTTAAAGGTACAGTTCAGTGGTAAAACATGTGCTTAGCCTGTGTTGGGTTCAATTTCCAGCACCAAAAAACAAAACAAAAAAGCAATTTCTTACTAAACCGAAAAGTATCTACATGTTTTACTTATTTTTCATAATGATATAATGCAGTTATTATAAAAGTTTCTCAGTATAGTTACAGTGGTAGAAAAATACAGCAAAAGTACAGATTTAATGACAGATTCTAAAAAAACACTGACTTTAAGAGTGTGTACAGAAAGGAGACATTCTGGAGTTAAATATAACAAGCAAGGTTCAACTTTTCACAATAGTTGATGAAACTAATAAGATATTGTAAAACCAGTATTTCATAATCAAATTACATTGTCTCGTATTATGTATCTTGTATTGTATTATGATGTGCACCTTAGCACATACTGAAGGAACTTAAGAACAAAATCTGACGCAAATATATAGATACCTGTATCAAATCTAAAGCCATCTCCCCAAGCATGGAGTTAACATGCCTTTATGTAGCTCCTACTTAGAAGAATGAGGCGGGAGGATTCAAAGTTTGAGGCCAGCCTGTATCAATCTGGGCCTCTTTCTCAGAATAAAACAAAAGTAGGGATGGGGATGTAACTCAGTGGTAGGGTGTTGTGCCTCACACACACCTGAGGCCCTGGATTCAATCCCCAGTATCAAAACAAAACAAATAAAACCATCTCTTTTACTCACCAAGACCAAAGTATGGGGTGTTTCTATAAATGAATTTTCTAGTATCAGTAATTAGAACTTAATTGTTTCGGCATCCTATTTATTTTGGAAGAATTTTTCCTAAAATATATCTATGCATCTGCACCCTCTTAAACCAGCACTACAATGTAATCTTCACTTGACATTTTGGGGGCATTATTTTGAACATCACTTACTGGGTCCAGTGTTCATTACTGCAAACATGAATTACTAGGATTTCAGTAGACGAGATAGGTCCTTTTTCCAAAGTGCCCTTAGACTGCTATATGCAGTTTGCCTTTTACTTTTCTTTATGTGGTGGAGATTGAAACCAGGGTCTCCTGTATGTCAGCCATGCACTTTATCACTGAGTTACTCCCCCAGATCACTTTTTTGTTTTTTGATAAAAACATGTTATTTTTTTTAAAATCAGATTGCTGGTGTTCACTACAATCTAAATGACTATCCAGACCTTATCTCACTTGCTGTCCTTAGTTTCCCCCTGGGAAACCACAAAACAAGAGTTACAGGTAAAATACAGGAGTATTTGAGCACTACAGGCCCTCCAACAAGCACATTTTATGGCATCGGTTTTGAATGCTGAGGACTATTTAGCATCTGTTTCAGTTTTTTTATTAGTATATGTTTGCAGAACATAAGGTTTACTTATTTGTACAGAGTTCTTACTAGTCGTCTTCTCTGTATTCCACGGCATACATAAACTTTTATTTCTCTAGGCAAAAGAAGTCAGGGCCTACCACAAGCTAAGCACATGCTCCATCTCTGCGCTACCCATCCCCCGCGAAGTTTTAAAAGCACAAAAGGCACTCTACAACTACAAATCAGGTGTTGCGGTCCAGCATAGGTGATTTTTGGTTGCCTGACTCCACCATCTCAAAGGTAAAAAAGACACTGAGTAAGGGGGTGGGGATCAAAAGGTCCAGTTAAGGAAACACAAGGCTACATTTCTCTTCTTGCTCCCTTCGCAGAAAATTAGCAACAAAAATTGCAACTAAAATTTACTAAATTTGCCTGCAACATCTTCAGCACAGTCTAGGCAGAAACTTAAGTAAAAAGTTCAACATTTGCTAGCTCCGGCGTGGGAGCAGTATATGACTGGATGTGTTCTGAAGTCATCCGAGCTAAACATTAAAATCTTTAAAGAGGACATGCAGAAGACAGGGCTTAAAGTCAACTTCGGTGTGAAGGTGCGGGCACTGCCCCCGACACACCGGAAGTTTTGAAATATCCTGCAGGCTCCCACAAGCAGAGTGGCTCCCTTTGCAACAGCTTCCCCAGTCCTCCCGGGGCTGGAGCACCTCTCTGAGTCCGCAGCCGTCGCCGCGGGGGCCCTGACTGGGCCACCGTGCCAGCCAGGCCGTCAATCACAGCGAGCGCTGGCTGCTGCGCCTCGGCCGCTTGCGGGCCGGGCAGATGGGAGGCACCTGCAGCCGCGGCGCGGGCAGGGCAGTCCTGCCTCGCCTGGGTCAGGCCCGGGACCGCCACGGCTGCTCGAGCTCGTCGTGGTCCCGCGTGGGGGCCGCGCGGCTAGCCGGCTCCCACAAACTCGGCTACTTGCCCGGCCCGCCCCCGGCGCGCCACTTACCGAAGAAGCCCTGCACGATCCCAAGCGGGTGGCTGAGCCAGTCCTCCCCGCAGGGCATCTCGCCGAGGCCGGGGTGGCGGCTCTCCACGGGCCGAGCGCTGCCGGCGCTCGGCTCCTCCTCAGGAACTCGGCCGCTCCTCGCCCGCTCCTCGCCCGCGCCCTCCCACGCACAGCACCACAGGAGCGCCGGTCCACCGACCTCCCCACGCCTCCGGGAGCAGCTGCTGCGGCGGTAAACACCAAAGAGCTACAAGCGACAGGCTGGCGAGGCGCGCGGGCCCCAGCCTCCACTTCGCACAATGGCGGGAAACAGCCGCTGCCGAAAGCGCTGCTTGCGATCTGGGTGGAGCTCGCGCAGGAGGGGCGTCGGGAGCGCGCGGCGCGGGCCCGTGGAAGGGGCGGGGCAGCTCTTCCGGGGGCGGAGCAGGGGCGGGGCCCTTAGGTGGGCGGCGGTCGCCATCTTGGAAACGGGCAAAGGAAGGGCAAGGCCGGGAGGCGCGCCTGGCAGAGCGGGGCGTGTTACTGTGTGTCACACCTTGGGAGCGTTCTTGTGAGTCCTATGCTCAAGGGCTAAAATGTGCGAGTTCAGAGGGACCACAGAGTTACCTCTGGGCACAAAAAACCGCGTGAATCAGAATTTGGCATCTGCCATCACCAATAAGTGCTTTTCTTTTTTGCTGGTGGCAACTTTGTAGCACTGCCTGAAGCCCAAACGTAGGGTTCTGCTGAAATCTTAGGTAAGGACTTTCTCTTAGCTGATTAAATCTCTTTGAGGATGTTGTACATTTAGATAAGGGGTACTTTTAAAGCTCCCGACCGCCCTGTGCTGTCCTCCCAGGCATTATGGCAGAAGGACCAGTTCCTGATGGGAGAGGCAAAGGCTAATAAACTTGCCTCTGATCCAGCCCTTGGCTCAAAAGTGGAAACAAACCTGGTTTGCTCCACCTCTCTGCCGGGGATTGAATCTCGGCTTTCTCACTGGGCAACCTCCCCAGTCCTTTTTATTTGGAGACAAGTCTCCATACATTTTCCAGGTTAAGTCTGAATTTTTGATCTTCGTCTCACGAAGTGCTGGGATTACCGGTATGCCCAACCACACCCTTGCTCAGTTTTTGCTTCAAGGCTGCATCTGTCACAATACGGATCTGGATACTGTTCTTTTTTTTGTCTTTTTCCTTTTTATCGGTACCAGGGATCGAACTCAGGACTGCCTGCTTGCAAGGCAGGCGCTTACGCCGCTGAGCTAAATCCCCAGCCCCCTGGATACTGTTCTGAAGAAATATGGACAAGATCAACTGTAGAGCAACCTTCTCCCAGGGAAATTTAGAAAGCGTTCAGTACTGAAACTGTTTTCCCTAGTCCTGGCATGTACCTCAAAAAACTCCAAACTCATCAGATTGGAAAATGGGTAAGATGATCGGAATGGAATCCGGAAAATGGGAAGCAGGAACTGAACCTGCAGGATGGGTGCAGCTCAGCGGCAGAGCCTTTGCTTAGCCTGCCTACCACGGCTGAACTCCAACACTGCAGAAAAATGAATCCAGATTGTCTGCCAAAATCCCACCTCAGGGCTGCTGTAGAAGGGAAAAACTTTTCCCTCTATGCTTCTCAGTTCTCCCACGGGACCCTTGTAACAAAGCACACCATTACTAGAAAAGCAAGCATTTGAACATCTCATATGTACATGAGAATAACTGAGGGAAGAGTATCTCAAAGTGGATTGAAATTTGGGTTTATATAACATCTTCAAGAAACAATAGAGAAATGATGAGACAAAGTAAACAAGTAGGCTTCTGTCTTAGTTTTCTTTGCTGAGACAAAATACCTGACACCCTTAAATTAAGGGAAGAAAGGTTTATTCAGCTCGAAGTTTGCAACAATTTCAGGCCCTAGTCATTTGGTTCCAAAACAGTGGTGCGGCGGGGCGGGGGTGGGGGGGCACTGTGGAGAAGAAACAGCCCACAGTATGGAAGGACAAGCAGAAGGCAGCAAAGCAGCACTAACAAAACTAGCAACCAGCAGCAGCAGCCTTCTTCCTATTCCTTTATATTCTATCTAGGCTGTAAACCTGCTGATTGTTACCACCCACACCCAGAGTGAGGCATCCTTTATCCTAGCAGCACATCATTAATCCTAGTATCACATCCTTAATCCCAGTATCACACACCCTGAATCCAGCTATCTCCAATAAGCCTTACTTTTGACAGCATGAGGTTGACATGCGGACAAAATCCATGATAGCTTCCAAAGCCGGCAAACTGAGAGGATAAAGACATGGGAAACTAATTGTAGATAGTTTGTTAGTACATTTGCTATATAAACCTTCTTACCATCTCTGGTTTGATAAGGTTCTAAAGTTGCCTCTGGTCGTAAACTTTTGTCCTTTCTGGCAGACAAGTGAGGAAAGATAACTTTGAAATTTTATATCCTACTTTTAGGCAAACTAAGAGTGCACGGATCTTTTTTATACTTTTGTTTGTTTGAGACAAAGTTTCACTACATAGTTCAGGCTGGTCTTGAACTCACTTTGTAGCCCAAGCTGGCCTCAAACTCACAGCAGTCCTCCTGCCTCAGCCTTCTTAGTGCTGTAATTACAGGTGTGCAATACCATGCCTGGCTCTCTTGTATCTTTTCTTTTTTAAATTAACTTAAACATGGTTATATTTATGCCAAAGTGATATATTTTGGGGGTAACATTCTGGTTTATTTCGGGATTAAGGGGTAATTTGGATTTCTCGTTGTGAATAAATTAATTAGCATACTGGGTCTTACATCTGGTTCTTGTGAGTTTGGGTAAGTTGGGAAGAATATAACAGTACCACTGCATTCATTCATTCATTTAGCAGAGAGGATTAATTAGTGGTGGAAACTCCGTATTTTAGCTTTGTGTCCATTAATATGCAAATTAAAATTATGGTATGAAAATGTCTGATTTTAAATCATTAATTTTCAGATTTGCTTTATCTGAATTTCAGCTTGCTATCAGCTCAGCAGTGGCAAGTGTGGGAGAGAAAAAATACCTTTTTTTCCTGAGGTCACGATATACACCCCACCCACCTCCATTACTAGTGAATAAACCTAGGGGTGCTCTGCCACTGCGCTACATTCCCAGCCAGGTGTGTTTGAGATGTCTCACAAATTACCTCTGTCTGGTTTCCAAATTGCAATCCTCTTGCCTTACCCTTTGGAGCAGCTAGAAATACAGGTGGTTGCCACTGTGTCCAGCCATAGGATAGGTTTTTATGAGACACTGATCCTTCACAAGGAAGTAAAGACCTGAAGAAGTGCTTAAGACTTTTTAAATGGTAGGTTTTTTTTTAAAACATGTGTGGTATTGGGAATAGAATCTAGAGCCTCATACATGCTAGGTAAGCATCTTAACACTGAGCTATAGCCCTCATCTTTTTTTAAAAAACAGTATCTGGCTATGTAGCCCTGGCTGGCTTTGAATTTGTGATCTTCCTGCCTTGGCCTCCTGAGTTCTGGGATTACATGTCCTAATTTTAATAATATACTTAAGCCAACATTTCAGAAATAATTTAGTTTTAAAATAATGTGAATGTATTAATGCAATACTGTACTTTTTTAACTGGGTCATTGAAATCTCATGAATTTTATATTTACAGCACCTATCAGTTCAGATAGTGACCATTTCCAGTCCTTAATAGCCACAGGTAACTAACTCATAGGTGCCACACTGGGCAGCACAGGAAAAATTTGAGCTTTAAAGTATTGGAAAGTCAATCTATTTAGTATTCAACCTATCAGAGGTAAATTTAGGGTGGCCTCAACCTCTAGATTGTCCCATTTCAGCCTCAATAGCTGGGATGTGTTACAATGGCCAGTTTCAAAGACGTTTTCGAAAGTCCTGAGACTTTTCAGGGAAACCAAAGAAACCATCCTTGTAGCAAAGGCCAGATCAAGGGTCTCCACTTGAGGCTACTATTTCAAGTAGGCTCAAGTTAACCCTATTATCCTGAGCAAAATAAAATGGGTCGGGAGAAGAAGTGAAGACCATGGAACTAGCAGGAAAATCAATACCAAGCACCTATCCTGAATAGCCAGCAAATGTTTAAGACTTGATGGTGGGGAGTAAAGGAGATATAAAAATTAAGATGTATTATGCACATCCCTGTCAGGAAGGTAGTTATTATATGTGGCAAATACATACTATAAAATTTTTAAAAGGTCTGAGGTGAGCCTTGGATCTTAAATTTGTACCAGCTGGAAATCAGCTGCCAAAGCTGTACAGATCCCATAGAGGATACATTTTTCCACTGCCATTTCAGAAAGATCATGGCCCAGAAGAAATCTCCCAGAGAACAAAGCCAGGGCCAAAGAGGAGTGTGGTCCTGGGGAGTTATTTCTCCACAGGGCTAAACCAAGAACTAGCCATGAAAATTCTCCATTGTCAGAGCAGGGAGAATTTTTCCATGTATGTCTAGCAGGATTCAATAATTTCAGTGGAACGGTGGCTCCTATATTATCCATTTCTCCTTTTCTTTCCAATTAAAGTCCTTTTTGTTTTTGTTTGTTTTAAAGTGTCTTGCTGTATGAACGCTGCTGGTTTTGAACTCTCAAATGTAGCTCAGACTGGCTTGAATTTATAATCACCTTGACCGAATAAGAAAGTATAATCTTACAGCAAAATTGGGTTTATTGCAAGATGGACTTTCTTTTCCAATAGTTCTTGTATTTTTTTTTTCTTTTTGAGGCAAGTTCTCAGTATGTAGTTTAGGCTGGCTGTGAACTATGTCGAATTCATGGTAATCCTCCTGCCTTAGCCTCCCAGGGGTATGTGTATCACCATGCCTGGCATAAAAATCTATCTTCATGGTATAACTAGTGTCTGGCTTCTAAAATCTGATAATTAATACATTAAACAGCTATTTCATTAATAAACTTGCATTCTATATTTCTGGGGAGGCGTTTAATTATTTCAGGATTTTATTTGAGGGTCTTCTCTCTCACCCACTAAAAAGCTGAAATGGTATTTTTGTTTGTTCTTGAGAGCAGGCTAAATCTCCTATGCTGGCCTCCAATTCCAATTCTCTGTTTTCTTGCCTAAGCCTCCAGAGTAGCTAGCATTACAGGTGTGCCCCACACACCTGCTATTATTTTAATTTCAAATGTTAAACTATGAAAGAAGACAATTATATCCAATTTGTGGACGGAACTAGTGAAACTACTGTGGAACATTGGGCACACACAAAGCTATTTTAAAATGCTCCCTCTTTTTTGGATGGGGGTACTTGGGACTGAATTCAGGGCCCGCTGAGTGCCCAGCTTGCTCTCCACCCACCAAAGAGTCTTGCGTCCAGGCTGCTCTTGAATTTGCTATTCTCTTGCCTCAGCCTCCAGAGATGCTTAGGTTGCAGGTATATGCAGGTATATGCACCACCGGGCCGGTCTAAATTTCAATTCCCTGAGTTATATTTTATTTTTCTCCTCATGGCTTAAAAACTTTAAAGGTTTTACTAGTACTATATCTGGACCGACGACAAAAGTTCCGTTCAGTCCAGAAAGACGCAAGTGCTAGAACAGGTGAATTTGGTTCCGCCTTGGTTATTGCCTCCACTTTTTCCTTAGTCCCTCCTTCTACCCGCTCCTGTGGATTTCTCTTGTACCTCCAAAATTTGACAGCTAAACTGTCCTGTTTCTGCTTTCAGGAAGCCCAGACTCCTTCACTTCCCTCAATCCACGACTTTGAGTGTCAAGTCTCGAACAGGTCCAGAGAGGGTATTGGCCACACCCCCGGCTGCTCAGCGATTGAGGTGGTCATATGCTATGTTTGGGCATGAAGCTAGCTCCTCCATGTTTATTTCGGGCAGCGCACAACAGGGAAAATATGGCTCTAGACCTGCCCCCTGACGTTCCTGTGCGCAAGTGCGGAAGTGCGCTAACCCCGAGGTGACTGGTTTCCGGTCGGTGGTACTGCACCGGCTTCCAGTAGACGTGTAACGGACTGTGGCCCGCAGCCATGACCGAGAGGAAAATTAACGGTGGCAGTGGCGGCGCTTCCACCTCCTTGACGAGTACTAACTTACTCTTCTCCTCCTCGGCCACGGAGTTCAGTTTCAACGTGCCCTTCATCCCAGTCACCCAAGCCGCGGCTGCTTCGGCCTCTCTGCTCTTGCCCGGAGGTAATAGTAAACGGAGGGCGGTCCCGCGGGGCGAGTGTGTACGGGGCGCCGGGCGGGGTTCCTGGTGGGACTACAGTCCAAAGGGAAGTTCTGCTTCTGGCTCGACCCAGAGCCCCACCCTCTGGATCGCTTGCTGGGCCCAGCAGTGGCCAGGTTTGACAGGTTCGGGGTGCTGGGATCTTGGAGGCGGGGCCCAGGTGATGAGGCTTGCTCTTCCTCCCGAGAACTTCGCGTTGTAAATTGTCCGGTTTTGGACACTAGTTCACTGGCATTCCACAAGTGTGGCTTACTCACTCGTGTCCTGGGTGCTGGCAGGAATCTCGTAGCCTTCCTGGCTAAAGCCTCTTCAAGGATACGATGGTTTGTCTTCTAGGGGAAGCCGGTGCACAGGAGGATATCTCCTAGGATAGACGGTCTCCCCTTCTAGGATACATTTATAATGTTTGCAAGATAGAGATTCAGCATGCTTTTTTGCTCTAAGAATTGTATTCTTGTTCTCTTAGGCTCCCATTCTCATGAGTTCCTCTAGCTTTTCGTTTATCGCTGTATATTGCCTTAACATTGTTTGGTTTCCTTTTTTTTTTTTTTTTTAAATTTTGAGACAGTTTCGCGAAGTCACAGAGCTGCCCACACTGGGCTCGGACTTGTGATCCCCCACCCCCTTCCCCAAGTGCTAGGATTTCAAGTGTGTGCCCAGCTGGGAGATTGCTTTTCATAATTTTGTGGCATAACTCAAATCATAGTGTTTAGGAGTACAGACTGTTATGGTCTTGGCCCTGCCAGTAACTTGGCGTGAAAGCACAGGCATGTTATTTTACCTCTCTGTGCTTCAGTATCCATGTATCAGTATCATCGCGAAAGATTTTTTTCAGCGCGCTGAGGATAGTGCCTGATATATAGTGTTCTATAAATGTTTGTTACCTAAACTTGTTTTCTTATTTGGACTGTGGGCTTAAAGTTTGTAACAATGACTTAATTATCTTTTATTTCCAGGATTTTCCTAGCACATAGGTATTCATTAAACGTTGGATTTTTTTTTTTTTTTTGATACAGTATCGCTTGAACTGGTGGTGATAATGCCTCTTCCAAGTGCTGGGATTACAGGTTTTGCACTACCAATCAGGTGGATCATTTCTAGTGAATGATTTGTTCCTCTTTGGAAAACTAAGGAAAGCTTCCTCAGAAGTGAAGAAAGGCATTATTGGAAGTAGCTATACCTAAATATTTCCCTTTCTTGTGTTACTCTTCTTGGTACTTGTCATTACCTGACATGTACATATACTTGTTTATTCTAATCCCCTACCCACAAATGTAAATCCCATGAAGGCAAGGAGATAGCTTTAATTTGTTAGTGTATGTGCAGTCTTTGAAATGCAGTAGACAAAATATTCAGTATTGAATATTTGTTGACTGAATGAGAAGATAAGCATTGAGAATAGTATGTCTCATTTAGGCAGTGTCATTGAAAGGATAGAGGCTGTCTTTGGTTAAGAGCTGGCGTGACTGGAGCTAAGTAGTGTGGTAAGCTCTGCCTGAGGCTTTTATATACTCTGCTTCTTAAGTATTACTTGGTTCATGTCTTTTTTTTTTTTTTTTTTTTTTTTTTTTTTTTTGCGCGGGGTTGGGACAGAGTTTTGCTATGTAGCTCAGAGTGAGTTGGAACTCACTGTAGCTCAGCCTGGGCTGGAACTTGTGATCTCCTGCCTCAGCTTCCTGAGTGTAGGATTACAAGTATGTGCCCAGCTATGTTTATCTTTCTTGTTGTAGAGTATCTGGTTTGTGTGTGTCACTGTCTGCACTAGACAATTTCATTGTCAAGTACATTGCCTTTAAAATCTTGTTTTTTGGAGACTTTTTTTGTCAGAACATTAATCATTTTTAGAAGTAAAATTATTATTATTTTTTTTATCGGTACCAGGGATCGAACTCACGACTGTGCACTTGCAAGGCAGGTGCTTATGCTGCTGAGTTAAATCCCCAGCCCCTAAAATTATTATTTTATTTGTTTTTTTTAGAAAGGGTCTCACTACATAGTTCAGCCTGGCCTTGAACTCATTATGTAACCCAGACTGGCCTTGAATTCTTGGCAATCGTGCCTCATCCTTCTGAGTGCTGGGATTACAGATGTGCCACCTTGTCTGGTTTATTTATTTCTTTTTAGATAGGGTTTTGGTATGTAGTTAAGGCTTGTCTGGATGCCCTGAGTCTATTAATATGTTGAGATTACTGCTTCATTTGTAACTGATGCTAATTAGAATGTTTCTTGGACTAGGTCAACCTCAAATTCTTTTGAAGGGTAAAAGAATTTGTGGGTAGTGGTACATACCTGTAATCACAACACTTGGGAGACTGAGGCAGGAGGATTGAGAGTTTGAGGCCATGTAACAACTTGTAAGCCATCTTGAATTACATAGGGAGATCTTTTTTCCAACAAGAAGGAAAAAAAAGGTGAAAGATATGACAGAGACTTTCCCCACGTTTTTCTTTGTTGAAGAATGAACTGAAAACTACAGAGGACAGTCTGAGTGAGGATCACAGGACTGCAAAGAGGATGGGAACTAGGCATACATCAAAAAGTATAACAATGCAGAGGAAGGACCTTGTGTAGGAGAGGTTGTTGTGTTTTAGTTACAAAGAAACAAGTGATAGGGGAATCTTTGCAATAATGTACCAGTCCTAATTCCAAAGGATACAATGTAAATGTCATATTAGGGTTATGATATTCAGGATTGTCTTTTAGACTGTGGCCCAAACTGGAATAGTGGAGTATTGTGGTTTGGGTGTAAATTATGGTGGGATTGACCTAGAAGCTCAAGGCAGAACTCTGTGGGCTTCTTCAGCAGAAGTCCGGGAGAAGCTGGAGCTTTGGCGTGTCTGTAGGGGCAAGGGCAGTAGTCTACTTCTGTGCTGGGGCTGGGTCTAACTCTCTGATGGACTCCTCACCTCTAGCAGTGAAAAGGGAATGAGAAAGGAAAAGGAAAGATTAGGAGGAAGAAGATGAAAGCTGCAACTGAAGGTCTCATTAAAGTCAAGGAAGAGTGGGATGGACTTTTGAGGGAAATGCTTTTCTTTTCTAACTTGATAGCAGGACTCCAGTGAAATTTTCGTATTACCCGTAGAGAAGATTAAGTTGTACAAAGGGAAGTGGGCAGCAATAGTCTTTTCTATTGACTTGGTGTTCTGTAATGACTAATTATTGGTTATGACACTGCATGATTTTAAGGATGTAATTAATTATTGACCTACTTCACCTTGGAAATAAAAAACTACAGGCCTATTTGTACAATTACCTTGAAAGTAAGTGCCCTGACACACCCCTTCTTGTCAACGAACTAGTTTCTTGTGACTGTTGAAATAAAATTACATATATTTGGATAATGAGGCGGTGTTTGAATTATATCTTACTGGGGAAGAAAAAAGATTAATAAGAAAAAATACTAGGTGTAGATTTTGTTTCTGTTATTAAAACTCCTATATATGTCTTTATAAAATAAATAGTAGCTACATTTATTTAAGAAGTATGAGGAGTGCTATACCAAAATATGCAATGAATCACAATTTTTCTCTACTTCAAATTTTTCTTTTAGTGCTTGTTTGTTCTCTCTCTCTCTCTCTCTCTCTCTCTCTCTCTCTCTATCTCCCTCTCTCTGCCTGTCTCTGTCTCTGTCTCTGTCTCTCTCTTTGGTACTGGTAGTGCACTCAGGACCTCATGTATACTGGACAAGCACTTTACCACTGAGCTATCGCCTCAGATCCTTTTTTCTTTTGATTTTGGGACAGTGTTTAGTTTAGTTGTCTAAACTGGCCTTGGATTTTTGTTGTCATTGTTTTGTTTCTTTGAGACTTGGTCTCTGTGTGTAGTTCAGGGTGGCGTTAAACTCACTGTGTATTCCAGGATGGCCTCAGACTTGTGATGATCCACCTGTTGCAGCCTCCCAACTGCTGTGATTATGGTCTGAGCCTGTACACTCTGCTACCTGGTCTTGGATTTATGATCCTCCTACTTCACTCTCCTGAGTAGGTGGGATTACAAGTGTGTACCATCATGGGAAGTTAGATTTTTTAAAAATTCATGTTTTCTAGTTTTTTACTTTGTAGGAAAACTTTGCAAAGAAAAACAAGTTTGTTATCATTTGGTTTTTGGTATTTTGAGGCAGAGTGAGCTATGTAGCTGGAGCTCCCCTTAAACTCACTATGTAGCCCAGAATGGCCTTGAACTCATGGTGATTTTCCTTTCTCAGCCTCTCAAGAGCTGGGTTTGTAAGTGTGTGCAATACCTGGTGTTTTATTACATTTTTTTTTTCCTGCAGAAATAGGTTGAGAGTAATATGTTAAGAAGTGTAATTGACAGCTCTTCCTTACAGAATCTTATGGAATGTTAAGGCACCCTTTAAACCATTTGCTGTCTTGTTTTTTTTCAGAGGATTCCACAGATGTTGGTGAGGAGGACAGCTTTCTTGGTCAAACTAATGTTCACACATCCACCCCACAGACATTCAGTTACTTCTCTCAGGTATCAAGTGGTAATGATCCTTTTGGAAATATTGGACAGTCACCCTTAACAACTGCAGCAGCATCGGTTGGACAATCAGCGTTCTCCAAGCCGCCTTTTACAACTGAATCCCAAGATGGGTTGAGTGCATTTCCGCCACCTGTTTCAAAGGCTCAGTATGGTGCTCCACCTTCCTCACAGATGGGAATGAATCCTTTTCTGCCTTCTCAGCCAAGTGGTCTCCCTCCTTCAAATTTTGGGAGCCCACCCCAAGGAACCTCCCAACCAGGATATAATCCGTATCGCCATACCCCTGTCAGCAGCAGAGCTAATCCCTACATTACACCGCCACAGCTACAACAGTGCCAAACACCAGGCCACCTCTCTCACCCTCCATCCTCTGGACCCCCAGTACAGATTTACCAGATGCCCCCTGCATCTTTGCCACAGGTATGTGGATCGTATGCCTTGATTATATGATTTTTTTTCTCTTTCTATCCTTAACCAGTGTTTTAAAAGAACTTTGTGCATTTTGCAGTTTATATGAGACCATATTATTTTCAGAGGCTATTTTTTAGAAGCTGCATACTTTGAAGTAAGCATTCTTGTAAATGTAACTTATTGAGGGCATATGTTTTAGTTTATATTGCCTGTTTACTGAAGTAATAATTTATTTTAGTGAGTTAGCCAAATGCTAGTATTATTAATTTTAATGTAAGTTACCAATAATTAATGTCATCTAGGACATGTGAAAGTTAAGACAGTTTTTTTTTTTTTGAGACACAGTCTCACTATGTAGTTTAGGCTGACTTTAAATTTACTATGTTCCCCAGGGTGATCTTGAACTTGTAATGATCCTCCTGCCTTAATCTTCTGAGTCATAAAATTATAGATGTATACCACCATGTCCAACGAGATGGTTATTGTTTTAATAGATTGCTCGTATCCACCCCCCTCCCCCCCCAGCACTCAGGATTGCCCTTACGGATCGTTGCACTGGGCTATATCTGTAATCTTTAAGATTTTTCATTTTGAGACAAGGTCTTATTAAATTGCTAGGTTACCTAGGCTAGTCTCCATTTTGAGATTCTTCTGCCTCAGCCTCCTAGACTGCTGAGATTACAATTACGGCTTATCTTTTGTTTTTTCGTTTTTATCGGTACCAGGGATCGAACTCACGACTGCCTGCTTGCAAGGCAGGCGCTTATGCCGCTGAGCTAAATCCGCAGCCCCCATTATGGCTTATCTTTAATTATACTTTTCAATCAGAACACTCAGTTACAGGGAATAAAATTGATTTCTCTAATATTTATTTATTTTTCTTTGTTTTAAAAAAAATTTTTTTTTAAAGACAGGATCAGGCTGGCTATGAACTCATGGTAATCCTTTTGCCTCAGCCTTCCAAGTGCCAAAGTATGTGCTGCCATGCCCAGCTTCTCTAATAATTTATTTATATTTATACAGCTTGAATCTAGATAGTAATATTGCATCTTAAAGGGAGATGATGGAATAATATTTATATTGTGTAAAGTTTATGAGATTCCTTTATGCTTTTTCCTTAGCTACTTGTTCAGCTGACTTCCAAAGGGAAATCAACTGAGTTTAAAAAAAAAAGGAAGCTGAGTGAGGGGGAGCATGCCTGTAACCCATTGGCTAAAGCAGGGGTAAGATCATAACTTCAGTGCCATCCTGGGTAACTTAATGAGATCCTTGTCCTGAAAGAAAAAGGACCAGGGATGTTGCTTAATGCTAGAGTACTTCTCTATCATCCTTGAGGCTGGAGATTCAATTCCTAGCACTAAAAAGAAAAAAACAAAAACAAAACCCAAAAAACCCCAAAACTATCCATAGATTACTAACCATTGTTTTCTTTTTTTCCTGGATTAAAGATGGGGGTCTTATTATGTTGCCCAGGCTGACCTTGAACTCCTGGGCACTAGCAATCCTTCTGCTTCAGCCTTCCAAGAAGCTGGGATTGTAGGCATATGTATGCCATTGCATCTGGCTTGATTTCATTTTGTTATCTGTTTTATCCTTTTTCTAGGCAAACATCTTATAGTACCTATGATTTTTATAATCTTTGTTTTTGTGAACATATTTTAGATAGTATAAAATTAAAAAGTCTTTTATTTAAAAACAAAACAAAACAAAGCAAATCAGAACAGAACAATGCAAGGAACACAAAACCAGACAACAGGATATCAACAGTGGCTACCATAATATAAAGTTTTTTAAAAAATGTTTTTAATGGCCTTAGAGAGTTCCAGTACTTAAATGGAAATAAAATTTTTGTTTCATTTTTGGGTTTTGGTACTGATGATTGAATTCAGGGAGTGCCAAGCTATTGGTATTAATGTCCTCTTAATTCTAAAGCATATGGAAAATTATTTTGAACAAACACGACGGTCTTAACTTTGTTACGTTTTAGATTCCTCCTTCAGTACAGGCAGCAACACAACAGCAAGTCCTTGCGAAACCTGCAGGTCCCTCGGTACAGGGACCCCTTCCTTTTGTACTTCAAAATCAGTATGAACCTGTCCAGCCCCACTGGTTTTACTGCAAGGAAGTAGAATACAAACAAGTATGGATGCCTTTCAGTGCTCTGGACTCTTCGAATCTTGAAGAAGTCTATAATTCAGGTGAGTGCTGGTCATGCATTGTTCATGTCTGAGTTTAGAAAGAGAAAGAGTGAAGAGTATCTGTGCCTACTTTTGTGAATTTCAATTCCTTAATCTTTGTAGAACATACCAGACTCTAGACCTTAAGGTGGTGATACTAATAGAAATCTTGAGTTATCTGAGCAAAGTGTTAGCAGAAATGGTTTCAGTCATTTGCTTTGTTTAAATGGGAAGAGTTTTCTTATGTCCATTAGTTATTTGTAGTTATGTAGTTATGGAGGCATATAACATTTTATAACATAAATGTTGTAAAATATTTTCTGTGAAACTATGGATCCTAGAGGTGTTCTGTGAAAAAATATTCTGCAGTCTTGAGTAAACATCTTTGTGTGTATGTATGTGTGTGTGTGTCTGTGTGTGTGTGTGTCTCACTGGGATTGAACCCAAGGCCTTTGCACTGGGTATCCTCATTCCTTTTTAAATTCCTTTTTAAATATCAAGAACAAGCTGAGCATGGTAGTACATGCCTATAATTCCAGCACTGAGGCTGAGGCGGGGGATTGTTGCAAGTTTGAGGCCAGCCTAGGCTACATAGCGAGTTCATGGTCAGGCTGGACTACATAGCAAGACTTGTCTTAAAAAAATTAATTTTTTTTTTTTTTTTTTTTTTTTTTGGAGAATAAGATCTTGCTAAGCTGCTAAATTGCCCAGCCTGGGCTTGAATTTGTGATCCTGTTGCCTCAGCCTCCTGAGTGCTGGGGTTACAGTTGTGTGCCATCACAGGAGGCTCCACTTTTGAGAAAGGTGGTGTGCTAAGATTTGCTGAAGTCTTGTACCATAGAAATACATTTCTTTCTTTGTCTTGATATTATTTGATCTTGATTATTGTACATAAGATCTATCGATATGCTCTAGCAATATCTTCCATCGAATATTGTTGTATGTAGATGTTACTGCCGAGATTTTTAAACAATTGGTGAGCGTTTGAATTGTATTATTGTAGTGTGACCATGATTTTAAATTTGGCTCTATTTGTTTTTCTATTAGGAGTTAGCTTGGTGTGGTGACATACACCTGTAGTCCCCATATTCTGGGAGGCTGAGGCAAGAGGTTTGCTGGTTTGAGCTTGGCCTGGGAAATTTAGTGACTTAGTAAGACCCTCTTTTTTTTTCTTTTGTGACTGGGTCTTGCTATGTAGTTGAGGCTGGTCTTGAATTCACTATGTAGCTGCTGTGTGGTTGAGGTTGACCTCAAACTTGTGACAGTCCTCGTGCTCACCCTCCTGAGTGCTGGGGTTATGGGTGTGTGTCAGCACACCCAGCTTAGTGAAACCCTCTTTCATAATTGAAAAGGGCTGGGGTGTAGCGCAGTGGAAGGGCTCTGGGTTCAGTCCCTACCACTGGAAAAAAAGTTATTTTGCATAGCACAGGTTAATCTTAAACTTCTGTCTTTAAATACAATGAGCCTGGTTGTTAATCATTACCTGTTGGCTAGCCATAATATTCTTATTTGCCATTTTTAAATAGGTCTTGCATTGGTTGGGGAAAATGTGGTCTTTGTTTTGTAGTTCAGCCAGACCCGGAGAGTGTGGTTCTAGGCACAGATGGAGGGCGATACGACGTTTACCTCTATGATCGAGTGAGGAAAGCTGTGTACTGGGAAGAGGAGCCAGCTGAAGTGAGGCGCTGTACTTGGTTTTACAAGGGGGACACAGATAGCAGATTCATTCCCTACACAGAGGACTTCAGTGAAAAACTAGAGGTATGAGTGCCTCATTTATTTATGTCTTTCTTTCTTAAAAAGTGTAGGTCCAGTATACATTGGAATTTTATGTGATACCACTTACTAATGGAGTTGATTTTATTTACAGACAGCCTGTCTTGATGCTGTTCACAAAGATTATTATTATTATTATTATTATTATTTTTTTTTTTTTTTTGAGCCAGAGTCTCACAGTGTAGCCAGGCTGCCCTTGAACTTGTGGTCCTCTTGCCTCAGCCTCTCAGGTGCTGGGATTACAAGTTTGTACCACCACACGTGTCAAAGAGATTGCTTTTTTTCTTTTTGTCTTTTTGAGACAGAGTCTTACTATGTAGTTCAGGCTGGTCTTGAGCTCATTTTGTAGCCCAAGCCAGTCTGTTTTTTTTTTTGTCTTTTTTGAGATGGGGTCTCGCTATGCAGTTCAGGCTGGCCTTGAGCTCACTTTGTAGCTTAGGCTGATCTGGAACTCGCAACGATTCTCCCACTTCAACCTCCTGAGTGCTAGGATTACAGGTATGAGCCACCACGCCTGGCTCCCAAGCTGGTCTTGAATTTGCAACTATTCTCCTGTCTCAGCCTTCCGGTGCTAGGATCACAGGCATGTGCCACCATGCCTGGCAAGGAGATTGCTTTTTTTTTTTTTTTTTTGTCTTTTTCCTTTTTATTGGTATCGGGGATTGAACTCATGACTGCCTGCTTGCGCTTATGCCACTGAGCTAAATCCCCAGCCCCAAGGAGATTGCTTTTTAAGTGGTGCTATCATTCGCAAAGTACTTGTCTAAAAATTTCTGTATCTAAAAATAGAGTGTGCTTTTCAGGGACACATCACAGATTTAATAAGCTGTTTGCATCAAACTTTCAAAAGAACTAGGTTTCCAAATTTGATGTTGCCAATATATGCCAAGCATACAAACACTTTCAGGTTACTTTTAGCAAGAGGTTGAAATCACCTCTGACTTGGGAAAATAAATTTGAAACAGAATAGGAAGAAATGTCAACTCTATTACTAGTTTTTTAAAGCCTTTGTTAACAATTTATACTTGTCAATTAGCAAAAATCAATGGAGTATGTATAATGGTTGTGTCAACGGTTCCCTTTGCCTCTTGTTGAATCTCTTCCTAAGGCCCACTTCAGACTTCTGCTTTACAGAAAGCAGGATGGTGTAACTTCAAAAAGAGAACACGTAAGAAAATAGTGGCACAGTACAGATTTTGGAGGCAGAAAGTTCCAGGTAGGAGTGAATTACAGTTCTGCCATTGCTTCACACCAGTTGTGAATCTTCTGCACTATGTGTAGTACTGAAAATGTTCATTACGAGTTGAGCCATGTACCTGTTCCACTCTGCCCAAAATTGTGTTGAAGTACTAACTCCTAATACCTCAGAACATGACATTGTTTGAAAATAAGGTCATTGCAGATACAATTGCCTGAGGTACGGTTATACTGAGTAGGAAAAACCTCAATCCAGTGTGGTGAACCTGCGACATGCCTACTTTAGCGGTCTGTTTGTGTTATTGGGAGCTCTGAAAAGTTCACCATCACTGTTCAATTCAATGTGGCAGACACTCTTGTAAGAAGACAGTCACATTAAGACTGATAGGGAGGAAGGGTCTGGAGATTTAGCTCAGCAGCATAAGCGCCTGCCTTGCAAGCAGGCAGTCGTGAGTTGGATCCCCGGTACCAATAAAAAGGAAAAAGACAAAAAAAAAAAAAAAAAAAAGACTGACAGGGAGAATGCTGTGTAACTGACGTAAGGCTTGGAGTTATGCTACAAGCCAAGGAGTGCCAAAGGCTAAGGCCAAATGGTAGAAAAAAGAAGGAGGGTTTCCGTACGAGCTTCAGAAGGATCACTGACTTGACAGCTCCTTATTTTGGACTTCTCATCTTTAGCATTATGAGGCAGTAAATTTAAGTTCCTCATTTGGTGATACTTCATGGCAGTAGTCCTAGAAAACCAATACACTTGTCTGAACTTTGGCTTTCTTCTCTGTGTAATGGGTATAATGTTACTTAGGTGTGATTGAGAATAACTACTTACATGAGGTAATGCATATAAGCTAATAAAAATGTGATTGTCAGTAAATTAGAGATGCTATTACTTTGGTTAGGTCACTGTCAGTTTTCATTTTTCTTTATACATTTACTTGTTATGACATAGCTTTGTCCAACTGGGTTATATATTATTTCCTTCATTGTAGGCTGAATATAAAAAAGCTATAACCACAAATCAGTGGCACAGAAGATTAGAGTTTCCAGGTGGAGAGACTATTGTTATGCACAATCCAAAGGTAATGGTACTTTTGAAGATACTAAAATGCTAAATATATTTTAAGAGTTGCTTTATTTTCTGTGTTTGATAAACATTCATTTCTAGTAACTTCTACAGTTGGGATATATAAGGGGATTGCTTTTAAAATGGTTACTGTAATTATTGATCACAGAAACAAAATGTGTCAGTCAGCTTTCTTGGCACTGAACATAATGCCTGACATCCACAATTTAAAGAAGGAGAAGTTTAATTTAACTCTCAGTGGGGTACATAGTCCACAATCAGTTGGCATCAGAGCAGACACATGGTGGTGGAGCAAAGATTGTGGTGGCTGGGAAGCAGAGCAGGGAAATGGTAACAGTGAGGAGGGGACTGGTGACCACATGTAGCACCCAAAGTCATGCCTCTAAGGCCCACCCAGAGAGGCTGGGAAGATGGCCGATTGACAGGACCCCGCCCCCCCCCCCCCCCCCAGCCTGAGGTGTGCTTTACAATTCTCCTAGGCTCCCAGGCCAATCAAGTTGGCACAATTAAACTTAGCTCTTACCCCAAAACACAATTTTTAAAAATCAGATTCTAATGGTACAATTATAGATAATGATCACATTCACCATAGAGAATTTGTGCCTGTGTAAAACACAACTTAAATTGTTCTAGTGAAGTTTCTGTTTTGGGAGTGTGTTAACTGTGCCACAAAAGTAGCTTGATACATTTTTTTCACTTGATCAGAAGTGGCTCAGCTTTCTCTGTAAGGGACCAGAGTGTAAATAATTTAAGGCGTGGCCAGCCATGTGGTCTGTGTTGCCCCCACCAGCTCCACCACTGTATTGTGAAAGCAGCCAGGAGACGATATGTAAACCAAGGGCTGTGATGTGCTCAACAAAATTTTATAAAAACAGGCCAGGTTTGTCCTGCAAGCTATGATTTGCTGACCTGCTTTTGATGATAGCTTGTTTTAACCTTTCAAGTACAATTTATCCTTTCTCTTTTTACTTTAAACTGTTCCCCTTTCCTCTCCTCACTTCTCCTCCTGTCCCCTCTGCTCTTTCTTCTTCCCTCCCCTCCTCTTGTAGTACTGGGGATTAAATCTAGGGAGCTCCAAGCTACTTCCTGGGCACTTTCTGCTTTATTTTGGGGCAGAACTTGCTAAGTTGTCTAGGCTGGCCTTGAACTTGTGATCTTCTTGCCTCAACTTCTTGAGTAGCTGGGACTACAGCTGTGCATCACCATGCTTGGCTCTTTCTTTTAATTTATTAGAAATATTTTAATTTTTTCATTTACCATAGTTAATTTCTCTGAGCTTCTCATCTGTAGTAATATTTACTTCCTAGAGTCATATTTTAGGTCAAATAATTTATGCAGAAATATCTGTCATAGGGCTTGGCATATAGTGTGCCTTAGAACATAGATATTTATTTGTTTTTGTGTTTTGGAGACAGAGTTTCACTATGCAGTTTAGGCTAGCTTTGAATTTGCTTTGTTGTCTAGGGTACCCTTGAACTCACAGTGATCCTCCTGCTTCAGCCTCCTGAGTGCTAGGATTACAGGCATGTGCCACCACATTCAGCTCATAAACTTTTTAGTTTTACAGAAAAATATAAAAAAATACAAAATTAATTCAGTCTAACATTTCTCTATAGAGAAATAAATAATAAAAATAATTTAAACAGTATAAATTTAAATAATATGAAAAGATATGAAGTAAAAAATAAAAATCTAGTATGTACTCATTTGATGGCTATACCTTTAATTTTTTTAAATACTAATGCAATCTTTTGCATACTATCATGTTTATATTCATTTTTTTAAAAGAAAAATTTCTGTATGGCATAGGGCTAAATGTAATCAGTTGATTTAACTGAATAGATACTTTCCTAAAAAGCAAGTGGCAGGTTTTGACATTCAAATACTGAATTTGTAGCTGTGTATGATGATGCACACCTGTAATCTTGGAAGTTTGGCTGGTTGAGGCAGGACAATCCAAATTTCAAGGGCACCTTGAGACTGTCTCAAAATTAAAAACAGTCTGGGCATGGTAGCACACAGCTGTAATCACAGCACTTGGGAGGCTGAGGCTGTAGGATCACTGTGCGTTCAAGGCCAGCTGAGCTACGTAGTGAGATCCTAGCTCAAAAAAATAAAGGGTGAGCTGGTGGGGTGTAACTCAGTGTTCTTGGATTTGGTGTTCAACACTGTGGGAAAAAGGGAAAAAATACTGAATTTATAATTGGGAAATTTGCCATATTAAAAATTTTGTCTTAGATGTGAGTATAAGACAAAGACCCCTCAATTATAAACAACTTGTCCTTGATTTCTTTTTTCTTTCTTTTTTGGTGGTACAGGAAATTGAACTCAGGACTCCAAGTATGCTAAGGAAGTACTGTACCACTGGGATACTTCTCTAGAGTCTGGCTAAGTTGCCTAGGCTGGCTTTTGAGTTTTCAACTATTCTGTCTCAGCCTCCTGAGTAGCCGGGATTACAGAGATATGGCACTGTACTTAGCTAATCCTTGATTTCTAATGTATGAGTCTTGAGTTTTATGATTTTAAAAACTTCTGGTAGTTTATTTATATGATTTTTCACCCTAAGTGCTAGAAATAATGATACTGATTTGTTTAATTTTGATGGTTAATACTAGCTGTACTCCTGCAAAATTGATCTGGAAGAACGGAACTATTACTTGATTTATAAACAGTCTGTACAATGAAGCAGTTTATTATGTATTAAAATACAGTACTTAGCCATTGTGGAAAAGAACTTGCTAATGAACACTGTTGTAATCCTGTTGTATCTTGAAGGTTATTGTTCAGTTCCAGCCTTCCTCAGTGCCTGATGAGTGGGGGACCACACAAGATGGACAGACAAGGCCCAGGGTTGTAAAGCGTGGGGTTGATGACAGCCTTGATGAAATTCCTGATGGTGTGTATAGATTGTTTAGGAGTGAAGTTTTCCTCAGTGTTGTAGCATTGTTCTCTAGAATGATGAAAAAAGAAATGGTTATTAGGATTACTTATCATACCATGCAGAAATCAGCCAGTTTGGCTTTCTTCTGTCTGCCTGTCTCCTACAGTCCTCTCCACTCCTCTACTTTCTTCTCTCTTCCTTTCCCCTCCCCCTTCCTCTGTTTCTCTCTCTTTCTGAACTGGGTGTCAAACCCATGGATGCTGTACTACTGAGCTATATCCCCATCCTTTTTTGACATAGGGTCTCACTAAATTGACCAGGTGAATCTTTTTTGTTTTGTTTTTTTGAGACAGGGTCTTGTGTAATTCAGGTTGGTCTTGAACTCACTATGTAGTCCATGCTGACTTCAAACTCACAGTGATCCTCCTGCCTCAGCCTCCTGAGTGCTGGAATAACAGGCATGTGCCACCACACCTGGCTGCCCAGGTGGATTTTAAACTTGGAATCTTTCTGCCTCAGTCTCCCTTACTGCTGGTATTACAAGGATGCATCACTGTGCTCTACTAGTACTTCACTTGTCTTCTTTTCTTTCCTTTCTCTCTCTCTCTTTTTTTTTTTTTGGTGCTGGAGATTGAACTCACGATCTCATGTTTGTCAGGCAGGTGCTTGTGCTGCTGAGCTAAATCTCCGGCCTTTTTTTTTGTTTGTTTGTTTTTGTTCTGGTGATGCTAGAGTTCAAAGCCAGGTCCTCGTACATGCCAGGCAAATGTCATATTGCTGAACTATATCCTTAAAGCCATATTGTTCTATTTGATTTTATTATTTCATATCTTTGTTTTTTAATTTGGAATTCTTTTGAAGATACACAAACCACATAATACAGATTTTAAAATGCGTTGTGCAGAAAAACCTTGTTGGTTGGAACTAAGCTTTTGGGATTGTGTTTTCATGTCTCACTAATTTGTATTATTCTAGTATAAGGTTGGCAGACTTTCTGTAAAGAGCTAGACACCAAGGACTTCAAGCTTTAGGGCAGATGGACTGTATTGCAGCTCCACTGTACATGAACACAGCCATAGACTGTGTAGACAAACGGGTACAGCTGTGTTCCTCTACAGTTGTATTTGAACAAAAAAGTAACTGCACCACACACTTGCCAGCCCCTGCTCTAGTGCATGTGCTTAGGCTTCCACTATTACACATTGCAGAATGGATTTTATTTTTATAATTACCTAGAATTCATGTTTGTCTAACAAAATTATAAAAAGGTATTATGAAGTCTGAATGAAGTAGTGTAAAATAAATAGATTTAATTTAGAGATGTTATTATAGTATTTGTGAATCAAGGGGAAAGTTTTGGGAAAAGATTTTAAAGTTTTATACCAGCAGATTGCTTGTTTGTGTGTGAAGAAGCAATTAGTGCTTTGGAGAGATTTTATTTATTTCTTTAATTAATTTATTGGTGGCAGGGGTTGAACCCAGTACATCTCACACACAAAACACATCTTCTACCACTGAGCTATACCCCAGCACCCTTCCCTGGGGAGTTCTGAGAAGATCACAGCATTAAGGAGCTGCCATAGGCACAGAACTGCTGGTTATCATTTTATGACAGCCTTTGGGAACAGACTTCCACATCTTGGTCTAGTTCACTGTTATTGGCCTAGATGGGCAAATTGTTCTAATTTGGTAGAGGATACTGAAACTTCCCTGCTTGGGAGGGTCATGAATTTTTTTGGCCAGTTTGCAATAATAAAAGAGATTTAAGAATTTTTCTGTAAAACAAATTACCCAGTTGTGGTGATGCAGATCTATAAACCCAGGGTTGAGATTGGATCACAAATTGGAATCTCATCTGGCCAGTTTATCAAGACTTTGTCTCAAAATATAAAAAAAAAATGACTGGGGAATGTAAATCAGTGGTAGAATGTGCATGTCCCTGGATTTGATCTGTACTTTTGCACCTCCTGCAAAATTCAGATAAGTTGCTGTGTTGTGTGTACACATATGTGTTTTACTATTTTTTTCACTAGGAGAAATGCCTCAGGTTGACCATCTGGTATTCATGGTGCATGGCATTGGGCCTGTCTGTGACTTGCGGTTTAGAAGCATTATTGAGTGTGGTAAGTATTAGTCTTTTTTTTCCCCCAGTACAGGGAATTGAACCCAAGGCCTTCATATAGAGCTGTATGCTCAGATACAGTACAGAATTTTTATTTTGAGACAAGAGCTCACTAAATACTAATTTGCCTGGATGAGACTCAAACTTTTGATCTTTCTGCCTCAGTAGTCCAGGAGTGCTAGGATTACTGGTATGCACTGGTGCACTTGGCTCTTTTAATCATATTTGACTTCATTGAATTACCTGAGAATTAATAGCTCTTATGTATTCATTTTTAGGGCAGTTCCTAACTATATAGCTTACTGTGGGGCTGTGAGAAGAGATTTATATGCTCAGCTGGGAATGCTAATTTGTATTGGATTTATTATTATGACATTAATAACTCATAAAATCCTAGAGTCTGAAGAATTAGAAGGATTCTTGAAAATGATTTAGCCTTTCTCGTATAGACAGTCTCTGCTTCTAGGAACCTGGAGTACTAGTGCAATGAATTGATGTATAATGTGATGAATCTGCCTGGTTGACTTATGTTTTTGAAGTTTTATTTTTATATCTATATAGTAATAGTTTGTATTTACTAAATGCTTGATATGTGCCGGTGACCTTTCACATATTGTATACTTAGCCCTCATAAATATATCTTTGAAGGGTCAGATATGGTGGCACATGCTTATAATCCCAGCACTCAAGAGGATAATCAGGAGGATTATCATGAGTTCAAGGCCATGAGTTTGTCTCGTTAAAAAGCAAGACAAATAAAAAAATATACACATATACATGTTTATACATATACGTACAACATAGTTTTGATGTGTGGCTGCTGTCACTGTTATCCCTGAAGAACTGAGGCCTGGGTGAACCCCTCTACAGTCAGTAAGTGCTGAAGCTTAATATTATAGCAGGTAGTTTGATTGTGGTTTTCTGGTCTTACCCAGACAGTGTGCCTTGTCTCTCAGTGATAGTAGTGAAACTCATTTTTCCAGGCATTTGTATATTCCTAAAATAATGAAAAGCTAGAAAGAGCTTCTGAATGGTTTATTACTTATTTCTCATCATTTTTCTAATTTTTCATCATATTACTAATTTTTCATCATTTTTACAAAGTATATATTATAAAAAGTACTAGCATATTTAAGGTAATTGCTAACTAGCTGTCAAACTGGGACAGTTTAACCAACTTAATTTATCTTGATTTTTTTTTTTAAGTGGATGATTTTAGGGTGGTTTCTCTCAAATTGCTGCGGATACATTTCAAGAAATCTTTAGATGATGGGAAAATAAGCAGAGTGGAGTTCCTTCCTGTTCACTGGCATAGTGCCTTGGGTGGGGATGCCACTGGTGTTGACAGGTTTGTAGATTTTGATAATTTGTTTTTCAGATTAGTCAAATTTAAATTCAGAATTTGAACTATCATATTAAGTAGTTTGTTACAATTTCAGTAAATACTTAAAAAATTATATGCTTGGTTGACATATTATTAAATATGTGTTATAACTTTACATGCTGCTTTTTTCTTTGTATTCCTTTGGGTATATTTATTCCTATAGTTAAAAGAACCTAAGGAATTTTAGGTCACTTTATTAATTAATTAATTTTGTTGCTAGAGATTAAACCTAGGTCTTTAGGAATTTGAGCACAATTCTACCACAGGGCTACAACCTAAGCCCCTAAGCTTGCTTTACAATACTACTCTAACCTATTATATACACTTTGCCCCAGTAGTTTTACTACAGGGCTGTCATGTATATTTTAGGGTGCTTAGCAGCATCCTAGCTAAATAGCAGTAACATGCTCAACTCTTGCCATTGACATTGAAAATGGATTTTCTGAAATTGCCAAATGTTCCTTGGAGATTAAAGTCACCCCTGGTTGAGAAATTGATTTGGATTTACTGTCTTTAAGTGAAAAAGACACTTGACAGCATAGTTATTTATTGTACAAAACTATTAGCTATTTAGTAACTTTAGTCTAAATGCCATTAAATGGTAGTAGTACTCACCAGGCACTGACAAGATACTTCACTCAGTTTTGAAAACTCCCATTTGAGAACTACAGAATGAATAATATTTGTTCTGGCACACAGGCTAATAGAATTTCTGGATTTTAGTGATTATCATTATGTTTCAGTGACGTAGTGACATAAAACTAACCCTATAGACAGCGTTCTATTTATGTTAGACCCCCTTATGAGGATGTTTCCCTTCTTAGTGGATGTTCATGAACTTCACTTTCATCTTTCTCAAATCAGGAAAAGTTTTCATTCAGTGTAATTTCACTCTTACTCTATGGACTCTTCTGTCCCTTCCATTCCATTCCATTCCATTCCATTCCATTCCATTCCATTCCATTCCATTCCATTTTTGTGAGGTATCCAGATTTCCATTTCGTTGTAAGCAAAATGGAAGAGTAGACTTTTCTCTTTAAAAATGAAATTAGGAGTCTTTGCCTATGATGTATTTTACATAGCAACTCTTTACAGAATTCATAATGCAGTTATAGGTAGAAATAACTTTTATAATAGTTCTGCCTACAGAATCAGCATATAATCTATGATATTTGTATTTTTTTTTTTTTTCTTTTTGGTATGGGATCAAACTCATGACCTCATGCTTGCCAGGCAGGCGCTTATACTGCTGAGCTAAATCCCCAGCAATATTTGCATTGTTGATCAGCTAATTGATTTAGATATGTGTACTTACTCTACACATTTTCAGAAATAAAAATTCAAACTTTTATAAAAGTCCATAGGTTGAAGGTAGATACTGATTGAAGATCCTTTTCTGTTTTCCTTTTTTAACAGGAATATTAAGAAAATCACTTTGCCAAGCATTGGTCGGTTTCGTCATTTTACCAATGAAACTTTGCTAGATATTTTATTTTATAACAGCCCCACCTACTGTCAGACAATTGTGGAGAAAGTGGGGCTAGAGATGAATCGTTTGCATGCACTTTTTTTGAGTAGGAACCCGGACTTCAAAGGGAAGGTGTCTGTTGCTGGTCACAGTTTAGGTAAAACTGTCAAATGTATATATATATACATATATATATATATATTTTTTTTTTTTTAACTTTTCTTTCTTTCTTTCTTTTTTTTGGTCTTTTTGAGACAGGGTCTCACTGTGCAGTTCAGGCTGGCCTTGAATTCACTTTGTAGCTCAGGCTAGCCTTACAGCAGTCCCATCCTCCTGAGTGCTGGGATTACAGGCATGAGTCACTGCACCCAGTTGTGGTTTCTTTTTTTGAGACAAGTCTCACTGTGTAGTCCAGGCTGGCCTTGAAGTGCCTATGTATATCAGACTGGCTATGAACTCACAGGGTTCCTCTTGTCTGAGGTTCTAACAATGCTGGAATTATGGGGGTGAGCCACCACACTTAGTACATTTGAAGGAAATCCTTGTTATCACTGCTTTTAGTTTAGATAATCTTGTTGGTGTGTAGTTATAATTACAAATGTTAAATTTTATAAAGGGCAGAAATGATTGCTTTGAGTTTAGATTCTGCCTTTACCCTTCACATCTAGGATTACATGGAAATGCTGCGTATTTTATTTTGCTGCTTTACAAAACAAGATTATTGATTATCAAGTCTTAACATCTTTTTTTGTTTTTGGTGGTACTGGGAATTGAGTGCATGTCCTTTGCACTGAGCTACGTACCCAGTCCTTTTTATTACTTTTTAGTTTTGAGTCAGAGTCTTGCTGAGGCACTAAGTTGTTCAGGCTGTGCTCTTAGCCTCGCAGAGTACTGGGATTATTATGCCAGACAGCATCTGATTTTTGTTATGATTTCTGCTTAAGGACTTTTTTAGAAAGGTAGAGTTGAATTCATGTTGTAAAAGTACCTAGTAAGTATATTAAAATGCAAAATACTTCTTTTTCTTAGGTTCTTTAATACTGTTTGATATCCTGTCTAATCAAAAGGATTTTTCAAAGCCTTCTGGATCTCTTGTTGCTAATGGAGTAGTGAAGCAGCCTCAGCTTCAGGAGAAGCAGGTATGTCTACACATGTCTCTTAACATTTAGGTGCATAGTGGAGCTGAGCTGTTTTGTAAAACCTGAACTGTTTTCTGAAGCTGTTTAATTTTTTAAATTATTTATTTAGCTGGTATGGTGGCACATACCTATAACCTTAACACTTAGAAGGCTGAGGTAGGAGAATTGCCATGAGTTCAAGGTCAGCCTGGACTACATAGTGAATTCAATGCTAGTCTGAGTTACATAGTGAGACCTTGTCTTGAGAAAAAAAATTTTTATTTGGAAACAGTTTTTATGTATTGAAGTACTTCAGGGTTCAGAAGTATGGATTTATACAGCCGTTTTGTATTTCTTTTTCTTTATGGATTATAATTGTAAATGTGAAAGTTTGTGATTTTTAAAAATGTGAAAGAAATTTCTGTAGGAGATGCAAACATGAATGATTTATTAAACCTACATGTTTCAGAATATTCAAACTGAATGGTACAGTAGCTAAAATTATGATTTTATCTGTAGGGAAAACTTGTTTAAGGTATCCTACAGATCATGAGAGATTCTATAGAAATTTTCCTGAGCTTAGGAATATTCCTTTTTTCTTTTTCTTTCTTTCTTTCTGTCTTTTTTTTTTATTAAGATGCCTGAAGAGTCAAAGCTGACTTTGGATGAATCATGTGACCTTGATGTTGAAAGTGAAGAAGTTCTAACATTGCAAGCAACTCTGGAAGCACTTAGCCTTTCTGAATACGTTAGCACTTTTGAAAAGGAAAAGATTGACATGGAATCTTTGGTATTGATGATAATTTGATTCATTTTTGTTTAAAGTTATTTTTCCTTTAAGACTGAGAATGATGAATAGCTTAAACAGATCAAAATTTATTCCAGATAAGGCAAAGGCTTAGGTTTTTTTTGGTATCAGGGATTGAACTCCTGACTTTGTGCTTGCCAGGCAGGCACTGTGCATCTAAGCTATATCCCCAGCAGGTGTTTAAAAATTTGAGCAAAACGGATATTTAGAAAATGTGTGAAAGCTTTTGTAAATATGGTACAAAACCCAGAATCCATAAAAGACAAAGAAGCACATAGCAGTGGACATCGTAAATAACATCTAAAGGCTGATAATGGATGAGGAATACATGTTGCAGACAGAGGGCTTTTTTAAAAATAGTCAAAGCTTATATTGCAAACTATTAGACAGTAATGGGTAAACAGGAAAAGACTATAAAAAGATAATTTATAGAAAAATTATAAGTGGCTTCTTAACCATATGAAAACTCATAAGAGAAATGCAGATTATAAATACAGTGATTATTTTTGACTTCTCAGCTTGAGAAAAATGGATTTGGTAATATACTCTATGACCAGGATGAAGAGAAGTAGGCACTATTTTATATTGTTGAGAATATAATTTGGCAGTTTAAATTGGAGTGTGAATTGATTTTCTTTTTGTAATTGTTATAAAACCTCCATGGATAGCAGTTTTGTGATATCTTTTGAAGTGTAAAACTACCTCTTGTCCCACAAATTTTACTACTAGGAGTATTTTCTATAGAAAAATATTCACACGAGAATATCTTGAAGGAGACTCACTGCGGCACTATTTAAAATACAGTGATACCTTGGAAATACTTTCGGCACCCACTAGTAGGGCATTAGTTAAATCACATATGGTGTGTGCACATGGCAGAGTGCCACAATCATTGAATGAGTGAAGCTGTATCAGAGAAATTAACCTCAGATACATCATCTGAAAAAAGTGCAGTTCATACTTTGTGTATGTAGACTACACACATACTAAAAAAACAAAAACAAAAATCAGGTAGATGCAGGGTACACATAAGACACCTCTGAAAGGAGAGGAAATTATCAGCACTTGTTGGTGCAAAAAGAATTGGGTAATAGGGACAGGAATGTATGGGAGAGACTTCATTGTGGGCTTCACTATAGCTTTAGAATTTGTGTACCATGCATATGTTTTCTGTTAAAAAAGAATACTGGAATGTGTCAGGTGTAGAGGACTAAGATTTGCAGTTTAAGCAGATCTCTTATTTAAAAACTAAAAAATTAGTTTTAGAAGTTGACTTGCTCTGTTTGTTTTACATGATTTCTTTTTGTAATTTCCATACTATAATTTCTGTCCATTTATTTCTAGATTAATTGATGTGCTTGTTTTTTTTAAAGCTTATGTGTACAGTTGATGACCTGAAGGAAATGGGGATACCTCTTGGACCCAGAAAGAAGATAGCCAATTTTGTAAAACTGAAAACAGCTAAACTGGTAAAGTTTTCTTGTCTCTGTTCAAGAAAGCCCAACACCCATCATTGTGTGACCGGCTCATTTTAAGTTTAGAAGTTTTTAATACTGTCTGTGGTTAGGCAAGCTGGTTTGCTTTTGCCCAAGGCATAGTAATACGGCTGATGGAAGCCTAATTCTGGAATCTGTCAGAACTGGTTTTAAATCAAGATTAGGCTGACTGACCATCCAGGTTTTCGTGGGACTGAGGGAGCTCCTTGAACACAGGTTATTGTTGTACTAAAATGCTAAAACACTAAAATGCAAAATTAAAAAGGTTGTTATTAGCAAAAAGAGCTTTGTCATTCTGTGCTATGCTTATTACCCTAGTAACCGCGCAATTAAAGCACCAACCACATAGTTATAGATTAATTGACTATGTCATCATGCTGTTCTGTGTGTGTCGTCCCCTAGTAACCTGTTTGCTGTGTCAACCATTGTTCCCTTTGTCAGAGACAAATGTTCCAGAAATTGGCAGACCAAGGGCTGTAAATTGACTAACCACCCACTTTGAAATACCTCTGACCTCAAGCAAAGGGAAACAAAGGCCCACCTTGTTCCTGTATCTCATTGCTGTGTACTTAGTGGTCAATGAGCTAATCGATTAATGAGCTATAAAAATCTGTCAAAATTCTAACCCAGTTGCACAGCTTTGCAAACTCCATCTGCACTGTGCTGCTGGGTACCAACTTAAATAAAAGTGCTCTATTCCTTTGAAAAAAAGATGTCTTGCCCTGTTTTTTCATCTTGGGGCCTTATTTTTGCTGTACCCCAAAAACAAGCCACGAGATGTTGTCAAGAACGGGGGCAAGATGTCTTTTTTTAAAAAAGAAGCACTTTTATTTAAGCTGGTATCAGTGGCACAGTGCAGATGGAGTTTGCACACAGAACAACATGAGGCTGCGGTCAGTTAATCTGTAACTGTGTGGTTGGTGCTTCAATTACATGGTTACTAGGGTAATAAGCAGAGCACAAAATGACAGTTCTGCTAAGAACTATCTTTTTAATTATTTTTGCTAATAACTATCTTCTTATCTTTGCATTTTAATTTTTTAGCATTTTAATACAACAGTTTTGGGGTACAACAGTTAACAGTTTCAAACCTGGTCTTTGATGATTTCCCAGTATAAAAACTGGTGAATTTCTGAGTATAGCTGAAACATTTGTCTTGATCCTTAGCTTGGCCACTTAGGTACACATCCATGAGCAATTGGCTTAATTTCACTGGTCCTTATTTTCCTTCATTTCCACAGAGGGAATGGTCCTCTCATAGTTTGGAGTGAGCATGAAATGTGCATGTGAAGCTTCATACTCAGAAGGAGCTTATATTTTCTGTTCTCTGTCCTCACTTTCTAGAAAGTTGAGGAATCACATACCAGAGTTTCATTAAATACCCAGGCAGCAAAAAATAGATTATTTAAAAAGCATTTAAAAGTAAAACAACTGGGAAGAACATACTGGTTTTATTTTTTGTTTGTTTTTGGTTTTTTTTGAGACAAGGTCTCACTACATAGTTCAGGCTGGCCTTGAGCTCTTGGCAGTCTTTTTGGCTTAGCCTCCCACGTGCTGTAAAGGCATGTACCACCATGCCGGACATATTTAATTTTATTGATTAAACTAATTTATAGAGACTGTGATTGCTTAATTAGAACAATTACACAAGCTTGGTTTATTTCTCTTTGTGGCATTAGGAATTGAATTCAGAGATGTTCTGCCACCAAGCAAAACCCCTGTAGTTTTCATTTTGAAATAGAGCCTAGCTAAATTACTTTAGCAGGCTTTGAACTTGGGATTCTCCTGCCTTTGTTTCTTAAGTAGCTAGAATTATAGACATGTGTTGCTAATGTACTATGTTTATTTTTAATGTCAATGTTGTCTTTGATGAGCCTTTGATTTTTTGAAAATGTATTTATTTTAAGACAGATCTCTTTTCCCTGGATGGTCTTTTTTTGGGGGGGGGGTTGTGACCTTGAATTTGCAGTGATCCTCCTGCGTCAGGCTCCAGAGTGTGAAATTACAGTCATGTGCACCACCACGCCTAGCAGTCTGGTCTTACATAGCCCAAGTTGGCCCCAAATGTGCAGTCTTCTTCCTTTAGCTTTCTGACTGTGGGAGCTGTTTGTTTTTGTTTCTGAGGTTCTGGGGATAGAACTTGGGGCCTCATGCGTGGTAGGCAAGTGCCCTACACTGAGCTATATTCCCAGTCCTTTTCATCTTTTGAACTTCTGTGGTTTATGGTTATAAATTGTTTTTTACGCATAATTTAAGGAATTGAGTTAAGCAGCATTTTACTGAATCTCTTCTTTTCGGTGATAATGAATACTGAACCCAGCACCTTCACATTGAGCTACATCTTCAGCCCTTTTTGGTTTTTCAGGGCAGGGTCTCACCATGTCATTCAGGCTGGCTTTGAACTCACTGTGTAGGTCACACTGACGTTGAATTTGTAGCAGTCTTGCTGCCTCAGCTTCCCCAAGTGCTGGGATTACAGATGTGTGCCCCTATGCCCAGCTCTCAGCCCATTTTTTTTATTTTGAGAACAGAGTCTTGCTAAGTTGCTAAGTTGCCTAGACTGAATGTTAGGAAAAAAGGAGGTAAGAACAAAGGTACGAGCTCAACAGGACAAATCTGAAAGGGACCGCCCTGGCACTTTGACCAAACTGATAATTCTCATACAGGCTTTAAGGTCATTTATAGGGTCATGAGTGTAAAGGGGGACTGTGAAAGAAAAAGGTCAAAATGGAACTTTTGGAGGTGCGGAGTTCAGTGAAAAGAAGTTGTGGCTGCCTGCCAGGCACAAGGCTTAAGAATGTACAGAGAGCTGAGCAGGGCTGAAGAATGATGGAAGTTACAGGGCATAGTTGTGATTATTGGGCCCTGTTAACCCATGATTATACATGATTATACATCTTTAACAATAGTGAAAGAATAGTGGGATGGAAGGAATTTAAGTGCTCTCTGGTCAGCCTGGGATGGCGGCAGTCAGTGTCTTCCTGGGGTTGAACTGTAGTCCTTCTGTCTGAGCTTTTCTTTTTAGGATAGTGGGAATTGGACTCAGGATCTTGAGCTTGCCAGGCAGGTGCCATGCCACTGAGTTATATTTCTGGCCCTGCCTCAGTCTTTTAAAGTCTTTTTTTCCCACGTTTTTATTTGTGTCTTTTTTTTTTTTTTTTGGTCTTTTTCTTTTTTTTATTGGTACCAGGGATCGAACTCATGACTGCCTGCTTGCAAGGCAGGTGCTTATGCTGCTGAGCTAAATCCCCAGCCCCTATTTGTGTCTTTTTGAGACAGTTTCATTATACAGTTCAGGTAGTCCTTGAATTCACTTTGTATCCCAAGCTCGCTCAAACTATAGCGATCCTCCTGCCTTAGTTCCCTAACTGCTTGGATTACAGGTATGTGCCACCATGTCTGGCCTGAACATCTCCTTTAGGTTAAGCACTGTACTTAATTTGTGGGATGCAGCGATGAACCATAAGTCTGTAGTCCACTTAGTGGGAGAAAGTTGATGACAAATGACATGAGTTCTGCTGGGCATGGTAGTGTACACCTGTAATACCAGTGCTCAGGAGGCCGAGGCAGGAGGATTGCCAAGAATTTGAGGCTATCCTAGGCTACATAGCAGGGCCCTAAAGCCAGGCGTGGTGGCACATGCCTGTTATCCTTTGGGATAACTTGGGAGGCTGAGGCAGGATTGTTGCAAGTTTGAGACCAGCCTGGGTTACAATGTGAGCCCAAAGCCAGCCTGAACTACATAGTGAGATCCTGTCTTAAAAAGACAAAAATAAAGAAAGAAAGAAAGAAAGAAAAGAAAGAAAATTTCTCTCAGAACAAACCCAAAATAAAAATCCATTCCATAAAAGGATACTCTGCTGTGGAGAACTAGATGAGAGGTGGCAGTCGTGGCTTTAAGGAAGGACTATAAGATTGGAGAGAGAACATTTCCCAAAGGATTTGATGAGGCGCTTGAAAGAAGGGAGGATCAAGTGGGAAAGGAATAATGTTTAAAACCTGTAGCTGAATGTTAGGAGGGGAAGAGGGTTTCAGAGTCCCAAATGGAAGTGCAGAACTTTGGATTTTCTCTTTAAAGAAGTTTCTCAGACATGTTTTATAAGCCGTGAAAGTTGTAGTGCTTTTGAATGAACATAAGATGCTGACCTGCTTATTAATTCTATCACTGAATGATTTAATACTGAGCTCTATATAGTCTAAATTTTTTTTTGAGACAATGTCTCACTGTGTAGTCCAGCTTGACCTTCATCTTACTGTATAGCCCAGGCGGGCCTCAAACTCACCTGGACCTTCCTGCCTCAGCCTCCCTAGTAATGGGTTTCATATGTGTTTCATTTGTATGCCACCATGCTCTGCCTAGGTTCGTCCTTTGTCTGAAGAGGGGCTGGCAAAGATTGTTTTCTACTCTGTAGGTTGTTTATTCACTCTGTTGGTGGTTTCTTTTGCTGTGCAAATGGATGGAGTTTTAAGGTATGGACTCTTACCTTTTTTTTTCATTTTATTGTTATTTATATTCTTCTGCTAGGGCCTCTTGGATGATAGGGCTGTTAAAGGTAAAAGAAAAGTTGTACCTAATCTTAAAATTGAGACAAATCCATTATCAACTTGATTTTTTTTCCCTGTGAATTGAGCCCATTTTAGCAAAAGTAAAACCCTGAACCATTGTCTGAGGGGATGCCATTTGAGAACTAGTGGGGCAGCGAGGGTGGCTGCTTGTTCCCAGCACGCAGATGGAGGGGGAAGAGGATGACTTGAGAGGATGACTTGAGAGGATGACTGTTGGGGCTCTGGTAGACCAGTAATTGGAATTGTATGGTAACTGGGTAGGTGGTGGGGAGATGGTGAGGGAGATTGCAGCTCTCAAGATACTCAAACCACATTTGATTAGGTGTTGAGGAAGTTTATTAGCTTGGCAGTTCAGAGATGTCTGTCTGCCTTCTCATTTTTCTTGTATGTCACACTGTTTTATAATTTCAGTTCCCACAAAACTCTTCATCTCCCCCAGTCTTGTGGCAACCCTGGGGTTAATGTCTGACCACCTAGGCGTGGTCAGACAGACTGGTACACAAGTATGCTGCTGGTGTTTCTGTATGTAGCTGGGGTGTTTCATGTGTGCAGCAGAGAAGCACAGGCCTGTAAGTAAAACAAAAAGACAAAATATAAAAGAATATTGTGTAGTTCTAAAACTGCAGAAGGATGTTTCTGGAAGGACCCTTTTTTCCCCTTCTGTGCTTTATTCCCAGATTGAATGCAGGGCCTTGCTCATGCCAGGCAAGTGCTCTGCCACCGAGTTATATTCCTATCCCATTTTTATTTTTAGTATCTCCCTAGGTTTCACAACCGGACTTCAGACTCACTATCCTCCTGCCTCAGTCTCATACAGCTGCCTGCTATTGGCATGCACTGCTGAGCTTGGCTAGAAGCCATTGCAGTTGCTTGGGTTCATAATTTATGGCATTATAAGAATATTTTGAAAGAAGTAAAGATCTATAGTGTGGTTTTAGTTTTTAAATTCCAGAGTAATTGCTTTTGGAGAAATGCGAAGCTGTCTCAGGTGAGCCACATTGCTTGCTCTGGTCGCTAGTAGATAACAAAGTGCTGCCACGTGAGATGATATATGTTCTGTCCAGGGGTTTGCTGCAGTGAAATAATGAGACCCAAATTAGCCAGCTGTTTAATAGTGAAGTGATAAAATATCTGTGGCCTGTGTGCGTTTTTCCTTTTAAACCATCTTAGTGATTTTCTCTTTCTTTTTTTTCCTTGGGACTGTAATTGAACGCAGGTCTTGTGCTTGCCAGGCAGGTGCTGTGTTGCTGCACTGTGTTTCAGCTCCCATGATTTTCGTTTGAAAAGGAATAGTTTTTAAGGTTGGGAATATATATATATGTATATCAACTATATATGTTGGTTTACTTTTAGAATTGTTGGAAATAATTTTAGGGAAACAACAATTCTGGGCAACAGGTTAGTTTATGATTGCTTTAAGTAGCTATAAGCTATTTAGAACAATAATGTCTATGAGCTGGGCGTGGTGGTGCACACCTATAATCCTACCATTTGGAAGGCTGAGACAGGAGGATCACTGAGAGTTTGAGGCCAGCCTGGGCTACATAGTAAGCTCAAAGCCGGCCTGGATTAATGTAGTAAGACCCTGTGTCAACAAATCAAAATAAACAGATGACAGGGTTAATGTCAGTAAATATAATAGGCAGTTCTAAATGTGAAAGCACATTTCAACTGAAGAAGCTGGAAAATGCTCTTCATTTTAGATTATAGATTTAAACTTGGTACTTCCCCAAAAGGACAGAGATAACTCAACCTTCTAAAACACTATGGTGGCATCAGTGAGTGACAGGGTGGCTGGCTAAAAGTTTTCGTTTTTCTGTATTGCTGTTTGTGTTAATCAGTTGGGCTTCATTCCTGATTTCTAGGCATTTGGGATTCATTAGCAGATCATATCAGTTTTTGCCATTTGTCTAGGCACTGTCAATAGCTATTTTTTTATTTTTTGTCGTTTTGAGACAGGGTTTCACTATACAGTTCAGGCTAACGTTGTACTCACTTAGTAGCCTAGGCTGGCCTTGAAATCCAAGCAGTCCTCCTGCCTCAGCCTCCTGAGTGCACCATCATACCAGGCTGTCAGTAGCTATTTAAAGAGAGACTAGCACCTAGTCCTTCACAACCTAGGGAATAAGGGCTCCTGAAACCTGAGGAGTAGACACGATTACCTGTGGCAAATTCAGTATTTACATCCCCTTGACATTGTTGAACTCAGGATATAATTAGAAACGTTTGGGAATGGTTTTGTTTCACTAAGTATTACATCTTTTATATGCCTATTCCCACAGTTTTTGTTTGAGGTAATGTATAGATCTTAAGTGCTCTGTGCAACAAGTTTTGCTAACTGTGTGGACCTATGTAATCACCAGTTAAGGACAAAACAGGTTTTTTAAGGTTGCTGTTTCATGCTTCTTACTAGCTAACTCCCTCTTTCCTATAACTGCTGTTTTGATTTCTATCACAGGTAGTTTCCCTCTTCTAACACAGGAAAAAAATTAACAATATGTATTTTTTTTGTCTTTTTCATTTTTATTGGTACCGGGGATCGAACTCACGACCGCCTGCTTGCAAGGCAGGTGCTTATGCTGCTGAGCTAAATCCCCAGCCCCAACAATATGTATTGTTTTATATCTACTTTCTTATAAAAATAATATCTGAGATTTATCTAATCTATTTAGATTTCATTATAGCTGTTTTATTTTTTGTTTTGTTATTTTTCACTTTAGAATTTTAAAGTAAATTATAGGTACTATGATATTTTCCCTTAAAAGTTTAACATCTCTTCAGAGGACATTTTTACCATGCCATTATTATTGCCTATTATTATTAATACCTAAATGACTAGTCATTCTGTAATGCTGTGATAGCACGGGTTTTTAATTGTTTATTAGTACATGTTTTCAATAGATAATGATTATGTTCATCATGGAGAGTTAGTACACATGGAGAGTTACACAACACATCTGAGATGGTTTGTTTTATAATGGTAGTTGAGGATGAAACTTTTTCTCAAGATAATTAGAATTCTCAAGATTATTAAAAAATTTTGGTATTTCACAGGAACAGAAGAAAGCATCAGAAAAGAAGGCAGTTTCAGTGTCTGCAGTGAAACGACAAGAGGAGAACATTCCCAAAACTAAAGAAATGGTCTCTGTCTCCTCAGAAACTAAAGAGTCAAAGAGGAAACTTCCACTTGGGGCTTCTGTTTCTTTTGCACAGGTTGATTATGAGTCTTTTGAAGTTGGCACGGGACAGGTAAGTTTACATAGACTAGTGCTACATGTTTTATGTTGAAATGGTGTGTCTTTATGTTGGCTTGGCTCTATATTTGGCTTGACCTTATATTCTTTAAATATTTATGCAACATTTATTTATGGCTGAGCAGAGAAATTGATTTTCTTTCTTTTTTGGTGAATAGGAATAGAATTCAGGACCTTGCATTTGCCAGGCAACTGTCCCGCTGAGCTAGACCTTTGGTCTTTTTTTTTTTTGAGACAGGATCTTACTATGCAGCCCAGGCAGATTGGTCTTGAACTCACAGTGATCCTACTGCCTAAGCCTCCCGAGTGCTGGGATTACAGGCGTGCACCACCCATGCCCAGGTGATTTTCTTGTAGTAAAAGTTTTATACATTTCATAATTTTCAGAATAAGAGATGGGACATACAGAGGATATCTAATTTTTGAAGTTATTTTTATTTTAGTTTTTCTACAACTCATTATTTTACAGCATTGGTCTTAGAACCATTAACAATAGAATTGTTAACAGAAAATCAGATTCAGAACATACCTAAATTAGGTTTAAGTATGTTCTGAACCTAATTTTCTGCGTGAGAAATTTGCTATATTCACTCAAGTTTTCTTTTTTTTTTTTTGGTCTTTTTTATTGGTACCGGGGATCGAATTCATGACTGCCTGCTTGCAAGGCAGGTGCTTATGCCGCTGAGCTAAATCCCCAGCCCTTGTAGTTTTCTAGTATTCACAATTTTTTCCCTGGGGAAAAAATGCCTATAAAAATTAACCAGGTAGTTAATAACTACTTTTAACAGTATACTTTAAAATACTTGTACCTCAGTGGTACAAGTAATATTACAATCCTTGTATGTATGTGTATATATGTATGTATGTATGTAGAGACAGGGTCTCATTGTGCAGTTCAGGCTGGCCTTGAGATCACTTTGAAACCGAGGCTGGTTTTGAACTTGCAACAATCCTTCTGCCTCAGCCTCCCAAGTGCTGGGATTTCAGGTGTGCTCCACCATGCTCAGCTTTTATAATTTTATTTTGATTTTTTTTTTTTTTTTGTTTTTTGCTGTTTTTTATACCAGGGATCAAACTGATGATCTCACGCTTGCAAGCAGTTGCTGTGCCGCTGAGCTATGTCCCCGCCCTTACATTCCTTTTAGACTGTGTTACTTCCAGCTTATTTACCAGTTGTATGCACAGTATAAGGATCCATTACCAGAAAGTGGTTCATGGAGGCTCACAAAGAACTTGATATTTGATTTATCCTGTTCAAACTTTTAAGCCAAATTTACATTTTAAAAATGTCTGGGCTGGGGGTTTAGCTCGGTGACACAAACCCCTGCTTGGCAAGTACAAGGTTGTGAGTTCAATCTCTGGTACAAAAAAAAAAGTCTGTCTTTCAAACATGAACAGATTTCAGCAGACTGACAAATAAAAGTCAATATATACTTCTGACCCTTAATAGCCTTTAAAAATATATGTATATAGTATTCTCACTCTCAAACTTTAGTCCAAAGAGAAAATTTTTTACATGAAAGTAGATTTTTAACGTTCTTTTAATGTTTCATTTATGTTTTTGATAACCTTACAAGAAAGTCAGTATGAAATTTTATTTCTTTTTTTCTCTTTCTCCTTGCTTTTCTCTCTCCCTCCTTTGCTCAGAACCTTTTTTGTTTTTGTTTTTGGTACCGGAGATCGAACTCATGTCCGCACACTTGCAAGGCAGGCGCTTATGCTGCTGAGCTAAATCTCCAGCTCCTCCCCCTCCTTTTCTGCCTTTTCTCTTTTTCTTCTACTGGAGATTGAACGCAGGGCCTTGTACTTGCTTTGCCACTGAGCTGCATCCCTAGTTGTCCCCCTGCCCCATCTTTATTATTTTAAATAATAATAGTGACAGGATCTTGCTAAATTGTCCAGGCTAGCCTCAAACTTGGGATTTTTCTACGTCAGCTTTTCAGGCAGCTGGGACTACAGCATGTACCATCATGCCTGGCTCACATTATCTTTCTTTGAACATTCATGAGGTTAGATATTGTCTTATGTTTTAAAGGTGTTTTTTTTCTCTTGTGAAGTGCTAACTTTCCCTGTTTCTATTGAATTTCTATTTTTACTGAGTTTTTCAATTTTATGTACCAATCTAAATATGTACAAATATTTTAAAGAATGTAACAAATAGGAGGTAAATATAAAGACAGGTTAAATAGAAAATTATACAGATACATCGTTCTAGCATTGACTCAATAAAACATGCTGAAGCTACATTAATTTGGCACTATTCATTTGTATTTCAAAGTAAATGAGAATTACAGTGATCATAGAATGATATGAAAGGCAATTCTCTAACAAGAACTAGTATTTTTCAATATATATTTCACTAAACAAAGCACCCATTTCATAAGGCAAAAATATGAAACTGAAGGGAAAATCCTAGCTCCACAAATATTCCTGAACATTTCAAAATATCTCCTTCAGTATTTGACAGTTCAAGAAAGAAAAACTTATGATGGAACAGTTAAAATCAGCAATATCATGCCTCCGGTGGAACATTATACAGAAACTGCAGAGTACACAGTCCTCTCAAAATCATGAGAAATGTTCACTCAGATCAACCATGTTCATAGTCATTATAAAGACCTTAACACATCCAAAGAAATGGAAATCCTGCAAAGTAAGCTGTCATTACATATTGGCGTGAAATCAGAAATTGACAGCTGAAACATACCTAAAATACAATGACCCTTTTTCTTTTTTTGCTTGTTACCTTTTATCTCTTTCTTTGTTCTTTTTTTTTCTTACTTTGTTCTTATATTAAATTTTTCTTAGAAGAGAAACTGTAGTGTTTAATTGTGTGTCTGATTTACTTATAGTCTCAAGACCTTATGGTCTCAAGGTACATCCATTTTCTACAGATGCCTCAAGTTTATCCTTCTTTATGGCAGACTAGAACTGCACTGTGTATAAATACCACATTTTCTTTATCCACTCATCTGCTGATGGATAATAGACTGTTTCCAAGATTTAGCTGTTATTAATTGTGCTGCTAAAAACATCAGTGTGTGTAATGCACTGTGGTATGATGTCTTTAACTTTTTTGGCAGTATACCTAGAAGAAAAATAGCTGGAATTTCTGTGTGTGTTTGTTTTTTTTTAAATTGAGACAGGGTTTTGCTATGTAGTTCGAGCTGGTCTTGAACTTACCTTGTAGTCCAGGCTGGCCTCAAACTCACAGCAGTCCTCCTGCCTCAGCCTCCTGAGTGCTGGGATTATAGGTGTGCACCACCATGCCTGGCTTGGAATTTCTGTTTTTAATAGAGTCTCCAATCTTTTTTTTTGAGGAATCTCCATGTTAATTACCACATAGGTTATTTCAGTTTACACTTCCACGAGTAGTGAAGAGGAGGATTCCTTTCTGTCCACAGCTTCACCAACATTTGTTATTGATTGATTTCTTAGTGGTAGCCATTCTTTCTGGGATGATACAGGATCTTAATTTTGTTTTAATTTGTATTTCTCAAATGGCCAGCCATGTTGAGTGTTTTTGCCCTAAAAGACCAGCTTTATTTCTTCATCTGAGAAGTGTCTATTCATTTCAGGTGTCCATTTCTGACTGTATCTTTTAAATTTGGGTTGTCTAATTTTTTGAGTTCTTTGCTATTTAATTGTTAGTCATTTGTTGAGGAATAGCTGACAAAAATGGTTTCCCACTCTGTAGGGTGTCTCTTCACTTTGTTGGTGCTTTCCTTTGCTGTACAAAAACTTTTTAACTTGATGTGACTCCATTTGTTGATTTGTGATACTATTTCTTGTCTAGAAAGTCTTTGCCTAAATCTATGTCTTTGATTTTGTTTTCCAGCAGATTAAATGTTTCTGATCTAATGTTTAGATCTTTGATCCATTTTGATTTTAGTTTACTGTTGGTGAGAGATATGGGTCTAGGTTCAGTCTTTGGCATGTGGATAGCCTGTTTTCCCAGCACCATTTGTTAAAAAGGGTGTCTTTCCCATTTGTCAAAGATAGTGTAAACAGTGTTTCTGGAGTTGTTTCTGTATCTTCTATTCTGTTCCATTGACCCACAAATCTGTTTTTTTTTTTGCCAATACTGTGCTGTTTTTATCACTTTGGCTTTGTAATATAAAGTCAGGAATTGTGATGCTCACTGCCTTGCCCTTGTTGCTCAGAATTACTTTTTCTATTCTAGGTCTTTTCTGCTTCCATAGGAACTTACAAGTGTTTTTAGTTCTGTAAGGAATAGTATTGGTATTTTCATTGGAATTGCATTAAATCTATATAACCATTTGGAAGTATGGTCATTTTTGACTATATTGATTCTGCCTTTCCAGGAATAAGGGCTGTCTTTGCATTTCTGATATCTTTTTCAATCTCCTTTTTCAGAGTACTATAGTTTTGTTGCAGAGGTCTTTCACTTCCTTCATTGAGTTCTATTATGGCTTGTGTCTAGGTGTCTCCCCGAGTCCTCATGTAGTCATAGCTGGTGGAGCTTTTTCGGAAGTAGCTGCATCTAGGATATGTGATGCTGAGGTTAATTAAGGATATATGATTACAAAATCAGTCCATGATTGGTTTGGCACTCACCTAACCCAGGTAGGTTCTATTTTAGATAGAATATAAAAGAAGAAAAAGAAGCTGCCATTGCTGCTTGTAGTTTGGTGCCTTCTCCCTTCTGTTCACCATGCTACCCTGGAGCCAACCAATTAGGGACTGAAACTTCCACAAACTGTGAACTGAATAAACCTTTTCTCCCTTAACTTGTGAGTGTCAGGTGTTTTGTCTCAGCAATGAGGAAAATAACTAAGATAGGTTAATTCCTAATTATTCTGTTTTTCTTCATGCTATTGTGAAAGGTATTGTTTACTTAATTTTCTTCTCACTGAGTTTGTTGTTGGTGTATAGGAACACAACTGATTTTTGTGTTGACTTTGTATCCTGGTACATTATTGAATTTGGTAACTAGTTCTAGGAGTCTTTTGGTAGAGTTTCTTTGGGCGTTCTGTACAGAGGATCATGCCATTTGTAAATAATGATAATTTAACTTTTTCCTACTCTATCCATATCCTTTTTCTTTGTTTTGTATAATTGCTTTAGCTAATGTTTTGAGAACTGTGTTAAACAGAAGCAGTGATTGCAAGTATCCTCTTGTTATTCCTGATTTTAGAGGGAAAGCTTGCTGCTTCTCTTTTAGTATGATGTTGAGTGTTGATTTGTCATAGATTTTTATCAAGACATTTTTATATTAATGCTATTTATTCTTTGTTTTATATATTTCAGATATTTTTTCCTGTTTGTAATTTTATTTTTTACTCCTTTTTTTGTGGTGAAATAAAACTATTGAATTTGCAAATATAAGGGCAAAGCTAGGGATGTGAAGGCTTCACTATTTGGAGACAGCCCAGTTAGTATAGTAGAAGGAATGCTGGATTTGGAATTAGAAATGTTGTGTCTAATTCTTCATTCTTTCACTGGCTGTGTGTTTTTAGGTAAGTCCTTTTACCTCTCTGATCTTTACTGTCTTCATCTGAGAAGTGGGCATGGTGAGTTTTGCCTTCTGTCTCTCTTTTGATAGACCAGTCAAACATGTGGATTATGCCATTTATTATTTTTTTACTTTACTCTCAGGGTTCTACAATGACAGACATTTTCCTGCCATTGAGAAAAAAAATGAGATTTGCACATTAGAATACTATGCAAGTGGTCTTTCCATACTATTCAAAATGAACTGTTTTGGGACAGATCATTTTACTGATGGAAGAAAACTTGCATGAGTTACAGAAGATGGAAGTTATAATAAAGATAATACATATGAAATGCCTAAGGGTCTGCCAGGCTCTGTGTTAAGCCCTTATGTAGATTTGGTTAATTTTTTCCTTTACCTTGAGTTTGGTGTTATAATTTCTCATTTTATAGATGAGGATTTTAAACTGAGGCAGAAGTGAGAGAGGTTAAGAAACTTGCCCAAGGACACGCAGTGAGCATGGGGTAGATTCAAACAAGATGACTTCAGATTCTGCAGTTCTAACCAAATTTATAATTACATAAATATAACAGTGCTTACATACTATGTTTGTTATCCTATATAGTAAGTAAAAATATAGTCAGGATGAACTAACCTGTGAAGATTTTTAAAGAGAACTTTTTGTTTTTTAGTCCTTTAAGCTAGCAACAGCTATCTATGAGAGCCATCATCTGTGTTTGAATGCTTATAAATATAGGTCCAAGAATGTTTGAAGATACTGATTACCCATGCCGCATACTTGTAATCCTAGATACACAGAAGCTGAGGCAAGAGGATCACAAGTTTAAGTTCACCCTGGGCAATTTAGCAAGATCCTGACTCAAAATAAAAAATAAAAAGGGGTAGAGATGTAGCTCAGTAGTCAATGCCTATGGATTTAATCTCTTAATTTCTCCCCTTTTGCCAAAGAACAAAACAACCATAACATGAACACTTGAAAATTCCTAAGAACATTGTACTTTGTGCTGTTGATCACTTTTTATTATTTTTTGGTTCTTTCTAGGTTTCTGTTGTTCACAACTCACTAGACTTTGAACCAGAGATTTTCTTTGCTTTGGGATCTCCAATTGGTATGTTTCTCACTATTCGAGGAGTGGATAGGATAGATGAGAACTATAGGCTCCCTACTTGTAAAGGATTCTTCAATATATATCATCCGGTGAGTGAATTAAATTGACTTTCTGTTTTGAGGAAGATGAAGAATCTGTCCATTTTATCTGAATAGATTCTCAGATTCTTATTTCTTTGGGATTAATATTGATCCTGGTTTTATAAGGCTGAGCTCTCTTCTCAAGAGATATGGTCCCTTACTTTCCAGTAAACTTTTTTCTAGAAAGTTGTTCAAAGAAATAGGGCTGTTGCTTTGCTTGCAAAGCAGTTTTACCACAAACTTGGAAATGTAAAATTCCCAATATTTGAATAATAGAAAAGAGCCAAACTCTCTGGTTTGCTAGTTATCTGTTTTACTTGCCCAGCTAAGATATGAAACTCAAAGTAGCTTTGCATCAATTTCTACTTCTCTATTTGCAGCTTGACCCAGTGGCATACAGGTTAGAACCTATGATTGTTCCAGATTTAGACCTAAAAGCAGTTCTTATTCCACATCACAAAGGTAGAAAAAGACTTCATTTAGGTAAGATATGAATGTAAAACTTGTTTTTTTCCTGTCATTTTGTAATGTGTAATGAATTGTGAAAATTTAATAATAAATTCTTAAAGAACTAATGTACTGGGGCTGGGGATTTAGCTCAGTGGCTTAAGTGCCTGCCTGGCAAGCACAAGGTCATGAGTTTAATCCCCGGCACAAAAAAAAAAAAAAAAAAAAAAAAGAACTAATGTACTTAGGTGTGTATTATATTCAGGACTTTTAAATTGGAGGAGCTATAAATTTACGAATGAATCCTTGATGGCATTGTAATTGTCTTTTAAAAAGAAATGGGTCTGGGAGGGAGTTGGTAATGAGGTGATAGGATGTATAATTAGATTTTGATAGTTTGGTTATAATTTTTGAAATTGGGAAGAAGAGTAACATTTCAATTAATGACCCAAACTATCAAGAAATAGATTTGATGTTGCCTAAATGAAGTGAGTTTCGTTTTCTTGCTAAATAGACAAACTTTTCTTATTAAAAAAGTACATTATATGGGGCTGGCAATGTAGCTCAATGGTAGAATATGCTTAGCTTCTGGGTTTGGTTCCCCAGAACCCCTTCCTCTCTCAATCATTGATATAATGTGATTGATAATTTCAAGTGGGGTTTAGATTGTGATTTTGATGGTTAATGGCATATATAACTTACCCTTAGGCTTAACAGTTTCAGTGGAGGGATGGGTATATAAAGAGAAGAATTAATATTGTCTTTTAAATAATACTGTTTGTGTTTTGAGACAGGATCTTGCTATGTAGTTCAGGTTTCTCCTGAACCCACTAGGTTGCCTAGGTTGGCCTCAAACTCATGGTGGTCCTACTGCCTCAGCCTCTTGAGTGCTGGGATTGCAGGCATATGCCATCATCCCCACTTTATGTTTTTTATTTGTTTCTTTACAAAATATTTAACTTTTTGAGAGTTAAAATGAGAAATTTGAAAGTCACATGTGTGGGTGTATATACCTGTAGTTGTATCACTCTGGAGGCTGAGGTAGGAGGATTGCAAGTTTGTACACAGCTAAATCAAGGCCAGTTTGGGCAACATATCAAGACCTTGTTTCAGAAAGCAAAACAAGTTGGGTAAGGTGGTACATACCTATAATCCTAGCCCTTTGGTGGCAGATGCTGGAGGCCAGCCTGGACTACATGGTAAGACATTGTCTCGAAAAACAAAACAAACAAAAAACAAAACAAAAAAATTTGATAACCTGAAGACCTTGAGTTCAAATGCGATTATTACACAACAGAACTAATGAAAGTACAGAGGTTTCCTTGTTTCTAGATTGGAAGTTTAAATTGTGGTTATATCAGAATCTTAAACTCTCAAAACTGTTTTACTGTTACAGTTTAGAAAAGCAGTGATTTTTAGTCTTGTAAAACTCATTTCTTAAACTTCCAGTGAAACAGTATAGGAATATGTTTGTGTTTTTATGGTATTTGATTATTTGAGACAGAACTTATAGGTTTATATTGGATCAAATTAATCATTTTTAAAAAATAGAATAAAATACTTGATGGCATTTTACCATACTGAAGGCTCTTGGCTGAGACATTCAAATGTTTGGCATTTGGAGGAAGGGGAGATCCTAACCTGTCTGAGAAGATCGTTAACTTTTAATTTCGGTGATACGGAATTTTACCAGTGACTTGGTGTCATCTGAATCTCTTTAGAGTTGAAAGAAAGTCTCTCTCGTATGGGGTCTGATTTGAAACAGGGTTTTATTAGCTCTCTGAAAAGCGCTTGGCAGACGTTGAACGAGTTTGCCCGCGCGCATACCTCTTCAACTCAGTTGCAAGAAGAATTGGAGAAAGTTGCCAATCAAATCAAAGAGGAAGAAGAAAAGCAAGTAGTTGAAGGTAAATTTGAGATTTAAGACATTTTCCAGTATAAATACTATGCATTAACATAAAAATTATAAATTATTTAGTGATGTTTTTCCTTTCTATTCCTTTTTGTGAAATTCTTTATATAAAGGGAATTCTGCCATGATAATTTTAGATGC